AGATAAAAACTCGACGGCATTCTGACTCTGGAGTTATTTTGCTTGCCATAGTCACAAATCTCACAGGAAACATAGTATGGAGCCAGTATTGCAGCAAACGCACCCATTCAACGAGAACAATAGCCAACTCGATTTTGAACTCAGAATTACGAATTCTAGTCAGTTGGCGCTTCACTCAGAGAAATCAAACCCGATCTCTATGTTCAATTAATAGCTGGGAATGCACGTAGTCTTGCTCTACTTAACGAAATCGACACATCACTATATCAATCTGCAACCTCGACACTATCACTCAACTCATCTACGATATACCCAAACTCTTCTCTTCAGGAGAAACAGTTGTTCTTTACTCTCTTCAAGGCGAATATTTCACAACACGAGCATCTGTTTCTGTTCTCTTTTCACTTTTTTAAGAATATACTCAAAGAAGAATTTCAAAAATTTCTCTACACTTTCTTCTAAACCCCGGATGGTTTGAACCAGTTTAAAACGAGTATTCATTATATCCAATTATATTCTTGATAAACTACCTCTACCAAATACTTAGAACTAACCAACCTTGATCCGTGACTAAAATTTACAATAAATTGTAAGGCTGAAGCTATTTATAGTTGCAGCCAGAGAAAAATAAGTTAAACTTAGCGAACAATTGCTCTTTCTAAGTTCTCTTTCTTGATTCTAAACCTCGCAGTAGTACCAGTAAAAACTAGAATTATTGAGACTAGGAGATATAAGAGTAAGATTAGGATTGGTATAGACTAAGAAAAGATAGCGTGACAAACAGACGGTGTACCTTATCCGAAATTACTCTATAAGAAAGCCACCCCGAACTGAAACTCAAAATATTTTTAAAACTTTTCCTTACAAACCAATAATTTAAATGCTACATCCGAATGACCTTAAAAAACAGCCGTTTTTTTCTACACTGCAAAAGTTCCTGGAACATGTTTTCATACTCTAAGTCGGTGCAATATTGTTTTCAATATCTTAGCACACTCATTAACTTTTGATTGTGATTGATTCCAAATACCTGATTTGGGCAGGACTGTGTAAGCCATAGCTTCTTCCGGTTCTTTGAAGTTATTCGGAAGATAAATTGTTTCCAGAAAGCGGAAAGCAGTCATGATAAACAAATGTGATATTTATCTACTACAGAGAGAACCTGGGTGTCATTTGTTTCCCTGGTCTTTGTTGAATTGACATCTGATTTCTATTCTGGCGCTGTTAGTTCAAACCGTACAAAATTCACGCTCTTGCCTGTTCCTATTTTTTCGGCCTGCTTTAAATACTGTGAATAAATTTTTTTTAGTTTGATGAAATGGGCTAAAAACCTGGAAAAAAGTATCAGTTTTCTTAAAAGAAATCAACTTGGATGTAGGGCTGGATTTTTATTCAACGATTTTTTTCAACTAAAAATACTTTTTAATAACGTTAACAAAACTCGATAATGAAAGTTCTAACACTTATTTTCATGAAATTAGGTACCTCTACATTTGTAATAATGCTCAACTGCTAAGTCTTTTTTTGATTTTAAGTTGCTATATTACAAAGAAGACAAAAATGTAACAAGCAAAGTTGATATTCACGACAACTTCATGTTTGCTCAAAGAGGTTCCACTCGACAGGCAACTCTGCTTAATAGAGCTCTCAAGATGCAGTAACTTGCAAAGGGCTAAAAACATGCTGTATACTTCCAATGGAATTTTGTGATGTCACTTGAAAAAGAGTTAATAATAACTTTCCTTGGTATCATTTTTGAGATCATTACTTGTTGCCAGATAGTGGTTACACGAAAGCCAAAAAGACGTATGTTGTGAGAGGGTGCCATTCTACCAGCCAGTAGCGTGCCGAGGGGAGAGGGGCTGGCGGTGGCGACCGTTGCCCACTAAATTTGAGTGGCCAATTTTATCCAAAGAATCCCCGCTTTGGTATAACTTTACGACATCCATTTTTGACTGACCTATCTCAAAATTTTTTATAAAGCACCTTCGGCGCCAAAATATACTATTTTTGAGGGGAGAGCGCGCGCCAAAAAAAAACACAATTTTTTGGTCAAAACTTTTCAAAAATTGTCTATTTTGGCCTGTTTTTTGAACAGTTTTGCGTTTTTGGTAATTTAAACTGATAAAATGAAATGACTCAAACAGTGAGTCTGTATTCTTCAGTCTAAATTTACTGTTTTAATTTTTTTTTTTTAAAAAAACAGGGGGTTTAAAACTCTTTATGATTAGCACTCTTTTTTTGAGTTAATCCAACATGATAAAACTGGATCATTAGCAAAAGTTTTTATTCCGCTGTGAAATCTGAAAAATAAATTCCAACTTCGAAACTAGAAGTCGATCACAATTTATGTGACCTTTACATTTTTGCTGTTCGGTAATGGAGTTTACTTTCTTTTTAATAACGGAAACGCACAGAACTTGAAAAGACATCAAAAATCAAACCTCGAAAAAAATAAATTTGAGCTTGAATAAATTTTATGACTTTTCCTGAAAAAAAAAACGATAAAAAGTTATCGCGACCTGTACAAGAGTCTGAACTACGTTCATCGACTCTTGAAAAGAACTAATCGGATGCAGTAATAGCGTGTTTCAAGCTACTCTAGACTTAGACCTATTGGATTGGCACTCTTTCGTAATTTGGAAACAATTTAACCGCTACCAGTTGCTGTCTTAGAAACAATTTGACCTAAAAATATTATCGCACTGAGACGTGTAATTGAATAACTAAGGCTAGGGCCGGTGACCCAAAAACACAAGAAGACGCTCTAAAAAACCAAGAGGTTGAAGATTTATTTCATCCTTAAACGAAAATTTTGCGTTCACACAGTCTCTAAAGAATTTTGAGTTCACGGACAGAAAGACTATCACTAGACTGCCAACCAGATAAAAATGTAAAATTGTAATATTTATCTGCGACAAGTTGTCGCGTTTTCAAATGCTACGAAGTTTTACCTGCGACTATTGCCGCCTTTACGTTACCACCAAATTACAACTTGGCAGCACCGCGGATGTCAAAAATCAAAACTCTGCGTCAATAAGGAGAAAACTGTGCTCATTTTCTCTGAGTAATAGGTGTCAGTGAGCGGCTTTTGTTCCAGAAGTGAAAACATGGCCGACATGAAAGTTGGAAAAGAGTAATGAATGCAAGGAAACTAAAAAAAAACTTTATCAAAAACCTTCAACTTTTGAATTTCGAAGAAAAAAAGAGATGACCTTAAAGCTCATTAAATTTGTAGAACAATTTATAATGGACACTTGTATGTTAAAATTAACCCAATTTGAGAAAACTAGATCAATAAGTAAAACTTTCATTTCGCTGGGAAATCTGATAATTAATTTCCATTTTCGAAATTAGAAGACAATAACGTTTTTCGTGACCTTTACACTTTTTCTATTCGATAGTTCGCCTTCCTTTTAACAATAGAATTGCACTTAACTTAAAAATAAATCACAAGTCAAACCGCTAAAAATCAAAATTGACCGTTAACAATTTTTAAGACTTTTTCCTATAAAAAATCAGCAGAACATATATAAGAGTACTCACTACGTTCATTACTCTTAAAAAAACTTCATTAATTATTATATTCGTAAATTTGGCATTGGAACATTTTTGATAAATTCAAACAATTACTGAATTGGGCGTCACAGTTTTACAATAATTGAACACAAGCAAGGTGGTTATCTTAATTACAATTAAAACTAGCATTAGATCGGAAACGATGATAGATTTCACAAAAGGGTCGTTGCAATCAAGTAAATAATTATTAACCAAATCCAGGTTTTGATTTGTAAACAATTTTATAGTATCTATCTGTACAGTTTGCAGAGCCTCCAATGTAGCATAGTAGCACCAACTGATCGATTATGCACTTCGAGCTCAAAAGTCAGTTTGGGATATTTATTCATGGGATATTTTTCTAGTATACAAACTACGGAGTGACTTCATGAAAAGTGAAAATTTTGCACTTTTCCAATTATTTTAGCGCAGATCAAAACTGCTTTAGTGGAATAAAAAATAGCAGCTTTTTACTGCGATTGAAAAAGTCCTTTTTTTGAGGAACAAGGTGCTGTTTTCGAATCCAAACAGGTTCCGAATAAAAACCAATTTAGTCGACCAGAAGTGAATCCTGGTCCACTGAACACTGGAAAAGTGCCATATTTTCGAATGAGAGGTACTTGTTACTAAGTAGAACGGAGAGATTAGCTGAAATATGAGTTGATACAATGAGCGCAATTGGGTCACTTTGAGAACTAACTGATATGGAACTAACTGAACACTATTCAACAAGCAACTAAGACGACATGGCATTAAGACGACAAATGAGAGTTAAAACATGTAAAAGAACTCTTCGAATTTAAGCGAACTATATCTCTCAAGAGTTTAATAGAAAAACTTGCGAGAAGCGTCGTCTTAAAGTCCCACTAAAGTGGTTGCCCTCACAACAGCTATCGTCTTATTCGCCATACAACATCAGAAAGAGCAACTATCAACTAATAATCTGCAACTGCGACGAGCGATGACTAACAAACAAGGGTCCAACAAGCAGTGAATACATAACTTTTTTAAAACTAAATTTTAAAAAAAATGTTGGTTCTGCCAACTTATTTTTTTCAGTCGAACTAACTTGTAGGACGAAGAAAAACAGTACATTTATTGCAACAAGATTAGCAGAAATTATTAAATTCTCGAGAAAAAACATCGATACAGCGAACTTCGATGTTAAGCATTTTTCTAGACTATATTTAACACCATGAAATTTTTCGTATCTGGATTAACAATAGAAGCAGCTACAGAAAACATACTATTTTATATCAAAATGAAACATAGCCAACAAAAAGTTGGAAAAATGTCAACGAACTAAAAAAAAAGATTAATTTTCTAACCTTCGTATTTCATACATTACGTTAAATTTCTTTGAATTTCATGAATCTTTTGTTTAGAACACATTTTCAATAAAAACTAACCAAATTAAAGAAAATTGGGTTTATAGATAAATTTTGTATTCAGCTGGAAAACCTTCTTTCGAAAAACCTGAAGCCATTCACGTTTTTTTCCGCGCAATTTGCAAATTGGAAAACAAAATTTGCTTTCCTATTTAGCTAGTAATTTAAAGTTGAATTTTAAAAAGGAAATCAAAAGTCGCACCTTAAAATCTCAAATTTGAGCGTGAACAACTCAAAGACTTTTCCGAACAAAAACGAAGACATACCTAAATAGGTCTTCACTTCGTTCATTGACACTTGAAAACTGAAGCAATACTTTATCACTAATAAATTTGGCTAAAATCTAAACCGCAGCAAATGTTTTTAGATAAATTGTTTTGTTATCAGTCTGCATTAATATTAAGTTTATTTGATTTTTAAAGATTGTATTAATTTGAGGTGAAGGCAAAAATGTGAGATGAAAATTAAGCACAAGTTTCTTCTCGAGACGAATCCAAATTAGCAGTACGGGGATGATTACTTTTCGAAGTGGAATTTTTGAGAGGAGCAGAAGCTTTACTAAACATAGCACCACTTTCAAACAAGTCTTTTTCATTGTTTTTATCGCCAATAGGCGCATCTGTCTCAGTATTACATGCTGATCGATTTTCATTGGCTGATTTCTGACCAATCACATTGCTTGAAAAAACAGTAGGCTCAATGCAATCAGGTATTGGTTGCGACTTATCTTTGCTTATTGATGTAGCTTCACAAAATGAGGAGTTTTTTCCTAGTCGTTGTTCATTTTTGGACACTGTTGTTAATATCGTTGCACTTAGCTCCGAGTTAGACGTTTCTGCATTGCTTGTTACCACTGTTGTTTGTTTACTCTGCTCTGGTAGTGACTTAGTGTATACTAGTGAGTGAGTGTCTTCCTGCTGTGGGGTTGGGAGGTGGGGGTCGGTAATCCCAGGACGGGGGTTGCGTTGTCCTTGTGCCCCTTTGGATCTTTGGGTTCCAGTGGAGCAGGTACATCCCCTACATTTTCGATTCGTTCTTCGCAGCTTCCTCTCCTTCGTCAATGGACCTGCACCAAACGAAATATACACTTGATCAAAATCCAATTGCGAAAGAATTTGAGAGAAAACAGGTTAATTAGAAATTAAAGCAGGATAAAATTCGTAGAAAGGTGTTTAAAAAACTAAGATCGCTCGCGTCACGACGAAATCAATTCAATTCGAGTATATAAACAGTTTGATGTTAAATTCTGCTTTTGTTCACATACTTCTTTGAAAATAAAGAGTCAAAAGACAAACTGAGGTTAAAATGAGACAATTTTTAAAAAGAGAGCACTTAAATCGAGTATGTTAGCGCGAAGTCTTCTGTTAATTGCGTTATCATTTCAAATTATGCATGAAGTACATAGTTAATTAGAGATATCTGAAAAAAATGGATCTGAAACAAAAACAGAGAACAATCTTTACAGACAGATTAAAATGGAAGATTCAAAGCTTCGTTGTCAGCTCAATTTTTATCTGTCAAATATCGATAAAATTCAGCCGTATCAGTCATAAAAATCACTTTCATTGCACTTTTTATTGATTAGTTCATATTTTATGTAAGCTCATTTGACAAACCAAAAATTTGATGCCCATTTCTCATTGGTAAACTTCTTCAAATGAATACTATTGAAACTTTGAATCCATGCGTTTTCTGACATCGAGTAAGACGGACTAGTTGCATCATCAATGTTAATATCTAGGAGAGGTTCTCTAGATACACTTGACATATACCTAGGGTGATGTGTACTACTAGCCGAGCCAATTTCTTTGTCTTTGGCTCTGGTCGGTTTGTTCAATACGATGGCAGTTTTGAATATTGAACAGTTGGCACTTTTGTGCGAGAGTCCTGATAAATAAGACGAATTCGATACAACTGAGTCACAATTATGAATCGAAACCAAGTACCCTCTTCGCCCAGAAGTGATCGGTATCTTGAGATATGTATTCCCGTACCATTACCAAAAAATCTCATTTTAATGCAGCTACTCTAAGGCATATCTGGTTGGTTTACCGAAATTTTACAGAGAGGCGAAGTTGCACTTCGCTTACACAAGCAAAAATATGACCGATAACGTTACTCGGAAAAACTGAATGAGTAAAACTTTGAGTCTACAAAACTTCTTAGTGACGCACGCCACTTATGACGCATTAGCAGTACCAGTCAATTTGAAAAAAAAATAGAAATTTACCAAACAACATGCCTCAATTATACAGCAGTCTATAGAGCAGTAATAACATGAAAAAATTAAATGTAATGAAAATGAAATGAAGTTTTTTTTTAATTTGCAATTTTTTGTGAAAATCATCTCCTCACACGCCATATTAAGTACAAAGTGATAAATTTCGCTCCTAGTAACAAATCAATTATGGCAAATAAGCTTCCTTCAACCAATTTGAAACGATTTCTATGACGGATTAAATCTCCGCTTAAGCGTTAATAGCGCGAAATATATCGCGCGTTAATTGTCCCAAATTGCCAATTTTTATTCCCCAAAAAACGATCACATGTGAAATATCTTTCCAAATTTAAGCTCAGGACAACAATACTTTTTGAATGATATAAAATAAATCTCGTCAAAAATGGCTAGTTAAAAAGCCGAAATTTGTCACAAAAAACCACGCCGAGCTTAAATATTCCGGTATTTTCCTTAGGAAAGTCGGAACAAAAACAGTTTGTGTTAAAATCCTTAGCATTGGCTGTACTTAAAAGCTGATTATTGTTCCGACTTTCGAAAAAAAAACGGAATACTTATGCTCGATGTGTTTTTTTTATTCAGTCAATTTTCAGCGATCGAAATAATGATTTTCAACAAAATTTTTATACCCCATTAAAGATATCGACTTCCTGAGTTCAAATGTAAAAAGATATGAGGGTACCGCAAATTATTTATGCAAGGCGAATTATCCCGCACAACAAAATCGTTCCAAATTGAATTGAGGCTGCTAATTGGTCGTATTTATTTCGTACGACTCACAATTTTAGACATTGCTATGTCCAAAATTTATAGGTTTTCAATGTTTTCTTTTTTCAAAATTTATTCGATATGAATTAAGGGACAGTCGGAACATTCAGGGCTTTGCCCTGATATACGAGCAGTCTTGTTGATTAAAACGAACACGTTCAAAATGAGCACATTTCATCGCAACAATATTTGCGTCGCAATAATACTTGCGGCGACTTAGGTTGAAAAAAAAGATAGTTTATCCTTTAACACAAGCATTGCTTGTGTAAAAACAAATCCTGGTGGCGAATAAAGGTCATTTTATGGAATAGTGATTTATGAAAACAGTTTTTTACATGCACTAATGCAGTCATCAAACTATGATTAAATAATTCTACGAGAGAAACTGGAATTACTCATGAAATTCCTGTTTCATACCCATCTCTATCCGACAATCGGTACAAACTAATCCAAAAACAGTGCTTCAACCTGAAAAATTTCCCATTCGCATTACTGTTACCTATATAGCTGAGGACGACAGGTAGGAATGCGAGCCCGTGTGCTGCTCCGAAGATGACTATGCCCAGGTACATTCGGAAGTAGAACACTCGGAACAGCTCCGAGTTGGAGAAGCCTAGCACCAATATGCCGCCCAGTTTAGTCAATGTGATACCACTCAGTACCTAAAGCGACACAGGTAACAATAAGTTAATATTGAACTCAGGATATTTGACCTATAATGTTAAACAAAACTCCTGTCAACGTTTTTAGGCTTAATTATTGGCTTAAAGGTAGTTTTTTGAGACTGCTGCACAAAATACATTCCAATATTCATGTCAATTGTGAAGTTAAACCTCATCTAGACGTAGCAAAATGTCCGAGTTCCATTTAAAATAATTGTCATGTGCAAACATTATCCATCATGACTAAACTTTAAGATATCATAGTTTGTGAAGTGGTGTACTCACTGAGCTGCCCATCTCCAACAAGGAGTCCTTTGCCCTCTGCAGTCTGGATGGGTTGGGATTGACTGCAAAGGTGCGCACTGTATGTGCAGAGAACTCAACACTTATTCCCACTGCCTATAAAACAAAAACGAGTAATTGTAAAATAAAAACAATCAAACTTTAGTGTAAAATAAGAAACCAAAAACAAGCTACTTCAGATGTATTTGCACATTTATTCACTTTTTGACCAATCAGTTCAAATGATGGATTACCAGTTCTATCCTTGAGATAATACAAACAACATGATTTAAAACTTGAGGCATCTTAAAAATCAAGGTTCAACATGGACACTACTTTGGGTTATATAAGATATCTTGTCGTTAATAAAAACATCTATATACGACATCTTATTTGGACTATATTAGACATTTTGGTTTATGTAAGACACTTTGACGTGTGAATATTTTCTACTATTATTTCCATGGTCTTTTATGTTAAGGATGACTGACCATGACTAGGTTGACGAGTGAGATGGCGTTGAGGGAGATGTCCCAGAGGTACATGAGGCCACACATGGACACTATGATCATCAGAATAGTCACCCCCACGAACAACGCTGACACTATGTCCAGACCTAGAAACGAAGCAAGTACTGATTTGCCATGAAAGCATGTTTCAAAGAAAATATACCCCAATGACAGTTGGAAAAGATTCAATGAACGTAAAGAAAAAGAACAAACAAAATTGACTTGCTTTTTTTTCAAAAATTTCAACTTTCTAATTTGAAATAAAAAATATATGGCCTTAAAGCTCTTTTATATTGACATTTTTTGTATTCTTTTGATACAAATTAACCCAATTTGAGAAAACTGGATAATTAAGGAAAAGTTTTTATTACGCTGGGAAAGCTAAAAATTTCACTCCACTGTCGAAATTAGAAACCGATCATTAGAAATCGAGCGCCATTTCAGCTTTCGTAATTGGAGAGCGCATTTTGCCTACCTTCTAGCAAATAAGTTCAAATTAAACTCCAAAACTGAATATACGAAAGGGCATTCATATGAACATTTTTAAGTATGAATGCACTTCTTTTGTTAGTAGGCATTTGAATACTTTTCCTGCAAAAAAAACAAAAAATCATCACAACCTATACAAGAGTCTGAACTAAATTCATCGATTCTTAAAAGTTGAGCAATTTATAATCATCACCCACAATCGATGAGGTAGTTTCATGTCACTTGGATTGTAGTCAATCTTTGCGCTGCTTTTTTAGACATAATAAACCTGCGAATATGCTCAAAGAACAAACTATTGAAGAATGTTAAAATGCATGAATTTTGTGTTCGATTTGTTTAAGTGAGCTTTACTTTAAATCCAAGCACAACTGCTGCATAATGTCATATCAAATTACTTTGAATTAAATCAATCGGACCGAAAAATATAAGCCTACAAATGCTTTGGCAACAAAAAACTTGATACCTTGTAATGAATATCTGTTCTCTCTAACTGCTTTATGACTGCTTTCTACATGTAGTGAGCCACATTTGAACACACTTATTTTCAATGAATTACTACAAGTGGGGGAGCATGAAGGGGGAGTGTGTGGGGGTGGGGGGAGGATCGATGAAATAGTTAGCTTGTTTCTTCTGTAGCAATTAAACATTAGAAATGAAAGAGTGGTGGATGGTTGTAGCTTTATGTGTGTTACTGTACCTAGGAGGAAGAATGTGACGAGGAATATGGAGAGGAGGGAGACTGACATGTTGATCACTGTGTCCCTCACTATGCTCAGATACTGCTCATAGAACACGTAGAACACCCTGCAAACACAAACAACAACTAAAAAACAGGCGAAATTGCGTTTCGCAAACACTTCCGAGAGCACGACCAAAAAGCAGCTCTATCAAGTGAAATAAGGCTCGAATTAGCGAAAAATTGGCTACGTGTCGGATTCGAATCTCCGACCTCGCAAATTTGAGTCTGCCGAACAAATCACTCAGTCACGGCTGCTTAAAATCCCCCAAAAACTAGCCACCAATAAAGCAGCTACATATGCTAACAAATTGCCAATTCGATGCAGCAAAAGTAGCACCAAACACAAAAACACAGAATTTTGCATTAATAAATTGGAAAGCATAAACCCAAATTCTGCATTTCAAAAATTGCGAGATACATAGAGTTGTAAGATTTCTGAAATCGAGCTTTCCATCATGGCACTGCTGTTTGAAACAAAGAACTTTTTTCGGTTCATTTGATGAATTAAAAATGCATCAGCTGTGTTGAATATTTACTTATCAGATGTCAAAGCACATTTGACAATATACTGCAACTGCAGCCTACCGCTTCAAAAGTGCCACCAAAAGTAGCACTATTATTTGCGACTTAGGTTGGAAAAAAAATCGTACTAACACACTTTGCTTCACAATTGTAATTATTGTTTGGATTATAAATGATTACATAAACCTGGTGAGGATTTTTGAAACAAGAGAGGATTCATAAAAAACGCTTTTTGAGCGATGGTCGAACTTAGAACCTGTGTTCTGCCATGCTGATGCGCAACTCACCAGGGGCAACCCCCTTTACCCTCCGGGGTTTGATCCCCTCACCAACCAAAGGGTCCAACCTTTGTTATTTTATGAAATCCATTTTAGACGGAACACCCTTAAAAATTTTCCAAAGGCGCCAAAATACACAAAAATTTTTCAAAATTTAGCCTGCAACACAAAAAATTTTGTCAAAAAAGGGTCTTTATAGTGTTCTGGGAGCGCTCGAAACATCAATTTGATCGACCTAAAAAAACGGTCGACAAAATTTTCGAGAATTTTTTGAAAATCCCCTCGAGAAAATCTTAGATTCGCCCCTGACTATACCAATCATGAAAATGTTAGGAAAAAGGTAAAGCCTTCACAGCATACAAAAGGAGCACCCCGTGGTTATGATGGTTCTAAATTATATGTGCTATAAATTCTAACTGTAGACTAATTTCACCAACAAATAGATTTACTTACGAGTATGGGTACACCTCCACGCCCATACTCTCCGAGATCCTATCAGCCAGAGCTCTCGATTCCACCAGCGCCTCTGTGAAATCCGCCGAGGTCCTCAATGCCGTGTGATATGTCATGAAGTAACTAGACACTACTCTCTTTTTGTACTCCCCTTTATTCGATTGTTCTTCTGTTTTAGAATAAGGAGGGGATGAACTTGAATACTGGAGATTATCGGCTGAGTAAGCTAAATTTTTGGTTGACCAGGAACCTTGGCTTCCATTTACTAATGTCGAACTCGTAATTAAAGGCGGTGGTGTCCAGACACTTTTTATTGATACTCCATTGGCGTAAGCAGCTTTACCACTAAACAAAAACGTTTACAGTAAAATTACAGATTAATGTAATTTGAAACATAGCCAACAGCAGTTTGAAAAGATTCAATGAACGTAAGTAAACAGAAAAAAAACACTCACTCGTTTTTTTTGAAAAAGTTTCAAATTGCGAATTTCAAAATAAAAATAGATTGCCTTAAAGCTCTTTGAACTTCAAGATTTACTTATGATTACCTTTTCTGTGATAAGGTTAACCCAATTTGAGAAAACTTGATTATAAGGTAAAGTTTTTATTCCGCTGGGAAATCTGAAAACTAAACTCCATTTTCGAAACTAGAAGTCGATCAACGTTTTTCGTGACCTTTTCACTTTAACTGTTTGAACCTTTTTCTGTTAACCTTCCTGTTAAGAAATGAGCTGAACTTTAAAAAATCAAAAGTCAAACCGCGAAAAAAAAAATTCGAGCATGAACAAATTTTAAGACTTTTCCTGAAAAAATTTTAAAGACTTTTCCTGAAAACAAACGATGTTCTTCGACTTTTTAAAAGTTACCGAGTATGTTCTAACGATGACTATATATTCAGAATCATATCTGCTATTGCCTAAAAACATCTGCAATTCATTTTCTCACAAACATTAAAGTAGTGGGCAAAATCACGTCATCGAAAATATCCTAGAGTAAAAGCAAACTGTTGAGAAAACTATTCGAAAAACTGCGTATAGCAGTTATTTCAAACAGCCTGGAGAGCAACTCACGCTTTTGGGCAATCTATGGAGGGTATATCTGATAGAAAGTAAGGCAACAGGTCCATGAACTGCTCTCCTTGCACTTTCCCGCCATCAATCGGACAACTCTCGCAGTTCTCCGACTGCACAGATGCATTACAGAACTTCCTCCCACCACTGTCACTAGTTGTGTCAAACCTAAAACAGAATGAAGGGTAAGGACAATTGTAGCTTAAGCATCACGACTCCAGTCGTTTTAACTGCTGATGGTCTCGTGTGAATATTTTGCAGTCTTTCAATAATTTCTGTATGATCTAGAGAAATATAAAATTAATTTAAACATAACCAACAAGCAGTTGGAAAAAAAAACAATGAACGCAATTGAACAAAAAAAATACTGACTCGTTTCTTAAAAAAAACTCAACTTTCGAAATTCAAAGGAAAAAAATGGATGCCCTTTAAGCTCTTTGAATTGGTTGAGGCTTTTGATAAAATTAACCCAATTGGAGAAAACTGGATCAACAAGTAAAACTTTCATTTCACTGGTAAATCTGAAAATTAAATTCCGTTATCGAAACTAGACATCGATCACGTTTTTCGTGACCTTTTTATTTTTCGCTGTTCGATAGCGGAGTTTGCCTTCCTTTTAACAAAGGAAATTAATTGTACATACAAAGAAATCCAAGTTAAACCGCTAAAAACTAATTTTGAATGTGAACAAACTTAAAGATTTTTACTCAAAAAAAAAACAATCATCGCGACCTATATAAGAGTCTGAACTACGTTAATCGACTCTTAATAACTAATACCAATTAATCTAATTTTATAAATTTACATCTGCAGTTATTTTACGGCATACAATGAGATTTTTACATCATTTAACAGAGGAGAGTCGGAGCTTTGCGGCACTTGCGTTACAACTCCACACTAAAAAACATAAGTCGAAAAAAAAAAATTTAAAATATTGAAAAAAACTAGGAGAACCAAAACTTTCGTATGTCTCGGTAAAAACTAAGGGCGCAGCTAAAGCTGATTGATAATTTTTTTAATGAAAGGAGTAATGTGAAAAACTTGACTTTGCTTAAAACCTTGGTTGTTTCTCAACTTAAATAAATGAGAAGTAAAATTTTTTTATCAAGGACATAACATTTTTCTTATAAAAAATTAGAGGTTTCGCCGATTCTGCATGAAAGATTCTTGGAAGCGCTTTTTTCGATTGAACCCTTCATCTCAGATTTGATAGGGTAGTTAAGAAAAGTTATTTTCTATAAAAATTTAAATCAAAAATTTCTATAAAACGGTCAAAAGTTCGATAAGTTGACATTCCAAAATCAATATTTTTTTTCAGCAAAATTAGGTGGTGACTGCTTAGGCAGAGAAACTTCCCAAAACCGGGTTTCTCAATTGAACAATTATCTTGAGAAATGGCAGGATAGCTTTCGAGAAAAGTCAAAAGGTTCCTAAAAAAAGGTCAAAGCTTCAAAACTTTGACTTTTTTGATTGAAGTTGTCGCTACTTCTGTAGGAAAAATTATTGCAGCCAGTTCTTTTGTTTGAACCCTTCATCTCAGACTTGATAAGGTATTTTTAAGGAAAATCCAATAAGTTTCTTAAACATAGCCAATCGAAGATTGAAAAAGAGTAATGAACGCGGGTAAATAAAAAAAATACTGCCTTTGTTGAAAAAATTTCAACTTACAATTTTCAAAGAAAAAAAATAGATGCCCTTTAAGCTCTTTGAAATTTTAAAACAATTTAAGATTCGCACTTTTCTGATACTATTAACCCAAGTTGAGAAAACTGGATCAATAAGTAAAACTTTTATTCTGCTGGAAACCTTAAAACTAAATTCCACTTTCGAAACTAGAAATCGTTCGCGTTTTTCCAAGATCGTAATTGGAGAGCACTATTTATGTAACTTTCAGCAGATAAACTTCAATTGAACTCAAAAACTGTATATAAACCTAAATTCATTCATAAATGCATTAATAAATCTGAATGAACATCTGTAATTATTAGAGCATTTTAAGACTTTTTCCTTAAATAAAAACAAACAAAAAAATCAGCAAGACCTATATAGGAGTCCTTACTACGTTCATTACTCTTAAAAACGGTCAGAATTTCAAAACTAGACGTCCGAAAATCCAACAATTTTGTTTTTGCAAATACTAGATCGTGCCGGCTTAAGCAGAGAAGATTCCCTAAACCGGGTTTCTCGATTAAACATTCAACCTGAGAATTGACTGGGTAGTTTTCGAGAACAACTAAAAACTTCCAACAAACTGTCAAATCTTTACAAATGACTATTTTGAAGGCCATAAACATTTTCTCAAAAAAAAAATCGGCGTACACAATTATAAAACTAGGCTTTTAACAGTCTGTTGGTTCGATTAAACCCTTGATATCAAATTTGGCAGGATAATAATTAAGAAAATTCAAAAAGCAAAGCCAGGTGAACAGATCGAAAAATTCTCCAGGAACAATAACTTTTTTTGAGTAAAAAAATAGGCGTAGCCGATTATGCAGGGAAGTTTCACACAAACTTTTATTTCGATTGAAACCAAAGTCTTAGATTTGGGAGGGTAGTTCTCGAGAACAATTGAAAAGTTTCAAAACACGGTCAAAAATTGAAATTTTGATTTTTCCGAGGGCCATTACTCACTGAGTAGATTTTAAAAAATCAAGAAATTTCAAAAACAGTCAAAATTTGACTTTTCCGAGGGCGATTTGACACTTCTTGTGTAAAAAAAATTGGCAGTGGCTTCTAAGCAGGGGAGCTTCTCGCCACCCGTTATCTCCATTGAAACCAATATCTCAGAGTTAGAGTATCTTAAGAAAGCAAAAAAATCTTCTTAAAATACTGGTCAAAAGTTCCCCCACAGACCTTTTCTAAGTCTGTAGACAGCGGGGTAAAGTTAAAAGAGCAAAAGAGACTGGAAAATTGTGCAGGCAGACAGGGGAGCAGGCGGTCTTTCCGTATCGATAACTTTTTTTTGAAAATCAGAAGAACGTTTTTTGAGAACTAAAAGTTTTGCAAAAATTAAAAAAAGTTTTCAAAAACTCTCAAAAACCCAACCCCATACAATTTCATAACGCCTGTTTTTATCAAACAGGAAAACCTTCCAAGCAAAGTATTTTAATTTTAAAGTAGCAGCGGAGTTAAACTTACGAAGCGGAAACAAAGCCGGCAATCTTTGAGCTGACACCAGCTGAGCTAGAAAAAGAAAGATTTCGTGAAAACTTTTAAAAGATTCAATCCCACTCAGAAACTACAAGCATAACCAACTGACACTTGGAAAAAATTAAAGACCGCAAAGAAACAGAAAAAAAAAACTTTTTTCAAATTATACTTGCGAATTCAAAAGAAAAAACATATGCCACTTTGAGAAAACTGAATCCGAAACAATTTTTATATTTATTTCGCTGGAAAATCAAAAAATAAAAAAAATACTGCCTTTGTTGAAAAAATTTCAACTTACGATTTTCAAAGAAAAAAATAGATGCCCTTTAAGCTCTTTGAAATTTTAAAACAATTTAAGATTGGCACTTTTCTGATACTATTAACCCAAGTTGAGAAAACTGGATCAATAAGTAAAGTTTTTATTCTGCTGGAAACCTTAAAACTAAATTCCACTTTCGCAACTAGAAATCGTTCGCGTTTTTCCAAGATCGTAATTGGAGAGCACTATTTATGTAACTTTCAGCAGATAAACTTCAATTGAACTCAAAAACTGTATATAAACCTAAATTCATTCATAAATGCATTAATAAATCTGAATGAACATCTGTAATTATTAGAGCATTTTAAGACTTTTTCCTTAAATAAAAAACAAACAAAAAAATCAGCAAGACCTATATAGGAGTCCTTACTACGTTCATTACTCTTAAAAACGGTCAGAAAACTGAATCCGAAACAATTTTTATATTTATTTCTCTGGAAAATCTGATTATGAAATTCTATTTTCGAAGTTAGAAGTCGACCACGTTTTTCGCATTTCGATAGTGTCGATAGTGGAGTTTGCCTTCATTTTAAAAGAAATCAACTGAATTTGAAAAAAAAAATGAAAAGTCAAGCCGCGAAAAAGTAAACTTGAGCCTGAACATAGTTTAGGATTTCTCCTGGAAAAAAATCATCGCAAACTGTATGAGTCTGAACTACGGTGATCGACTCTTAATAACTAATACCAACTAATCTAGATAAATGTATTTACGTATGCAGTTAGTCTACTGCACTTATAACGATATTTACATCATTTAACAGAGGCGAAGCTGGGGCTTCGCGCCATTTGTGTACAAAACAAACATTAAAAATCGAAAAAAGGAGAAATATTGAAAAAAAAACTACGTGAACCAAAACTTTCTGATGTCTCGGTTGAAGATAAGGCTCTTTTTCCTTCCTCCCCCCTCCCCCCTCCTCCCCCCTCACTCAAACATGAATTTTATGCTCTAACGAGTGGTTTTACAAGGTTAATTATGAAGACCAAATATGTGTGTCATGGCCTAATTAGTCTTCATGTCAATTTTCATGACAATCGGAAGAAGAGAACAATAACTTCAAATATGAAAATTTGCAGGTGGGGGAAAAAGGAAAAAGAGCCGAAGATAACTAGGCAACTAGCTAAGACTGGAGGTTTTTGATAACTTTTGAATTTGCTAAACTGATGCGGTATGAAATGACTTCAAAAATTAGACTGTGCCCAAAACCGTAGTTGTTTCTTTACCAAAATAAGTGACAAGAATGAATATTTTTGAGATATTAGAATTTTTTCAAGTACGCAACATTTTTCTTACAAACATTAAAACTGTTTTTTTTTTTGAAAAAAAAACTATTTCCTGAAAAACAAATCACCGAGACCTAAATAATAGTGCTCACAACGTTCATTATTCTTACAAATCAGCACTAGCAACCATCATGATACGTGCTTACAGTAAGAAAAAAATCTGTGATGTTTCACTTAAGATAAACGAAAGACAAACAAGTCAATTTTTACTTGAAAAAAAAATCCATTTTTTAGATACCGAAAAAATAAAGTCCTGCCTGGACTCGAGCCCCGTACCTTAGGGTGCGAAAACAATCGCGTTACCTCGATGCCATGTGTGAAGGTACCTCTCAGAGTTGTTAGGGTTCAATAATAAAGCAAGTTCAATTTCTCGTAAGAAAAATTGAATTGCCTACTGGAAAAAAGTCTAGTTCCCGCTTACAAGACACTTGCTCTCAGAAGTGTAATAATTTGTTAAGTAATAGTACCTGCAGCACTTTGACTCTGGGTCGGACCAATCAAGGAAATCATCCAACCACGAATTCGGCATCTTCGCTATCTTCGTCCTCTCTTTATCTTTAGCTGCTCTGCTTATCTGCTGTACTATTGAGTCCGCACTGCATCCAGCTAAACCACAGACCAGTTTCTGCTGTTGTGGGTCCTCGTAGGGAAATGGTTCCTTGACGACGAAGTAGACTGGGGATCCGACGTTGAGGTCCTCGGAGATGGCTGTGAAGTAGTCTCGCATATAAGAGTCCTAAAGAGGCCAACTTTGATTTTTCTTCACTTCGTTAATTACAATTTTTCTAAAATGGAGGATGAATAAAGCCTGGATCACTTCTCGTAAAATTTTTCACCCAACTAACAGTGCTTTGTTATTTAGAGCTTTTGAATAATTTTCCGGAAACTATTTTATTGCTTTTCCGAGACGTCATTCGCAAAATAATCAACCGGATCTGCAATTATGTGCCAGTTGGTTTAAATTTGGTGAAAGAATACTGATCACTTATATCACCATGATGAATATTGAAGCAAACATGTATGGATTCATAAATGCTCATGCGTTAGACTGCTTTTTGTAGCAATTGATGACTGACCGATGGCAGCGATAGACTCTGGTCCAGTCCAATGGGAATATGTGGCATCATGCAGCAACAGGCCAGGAACCAGCCAACAAACACCACAATCACGATGGGCCTCACCAGGTCTGAGAAGAGGATGGGGGAGTAGTAGTTCTTGAAGAGGGAGTAAACTGTGCCCACTTGGCCGCGGGGGGACTTCTCGCAGTTGTCAACTGGCACGCAACAGGCGATGTCCACACGAGCATCCTAGATTAAAAGCAGATAAAGTATTCAATATCTGCATATATTTCGCTTACCCATATAAAGTAAGCAGCATTTGACAATGTGCTTTTTCCCTCACACTCCCACCCACCTCATCTCACCACGCATCAACTTTATGGTGTAAAAATTGGTTTTACAAGATTAAGCAAAAGACCAAATATTTTTGTCATCGCTTAATTAGTCATTGAAATCGGACAAAGTGAACAAACATTTTGTTGTAAAAGTTCGCAGATTAAAATTATCACGTACCTTTTGTCTCTTCGCATCTAGTGTCAACAACCCCACAAAACACGTGATCTGGAACAGGAAGTCAAACGTCACCGCCATCCCAGCATACAGCGAGAAAGTCCTCACAGCCGGCATTGGCGTCATGGCTCCTAGGAAGAATGCCAGTGCCTCTGCACATGATGAAAGAAGCATGGAGGGGGCCACTTTGGAGAAGACAGTAGCTATTTGTACTTCCAGGGATTCGTTTCTGTCTTTCGGTCGGTATCTCTGCAACAGAAAAATTAGACGCAGATTATTAAAACAGCTGATATATCGTTTATTACCCGTATTATATCGTTGCTCATCAAAAGAACCCTGTTGCGCAAGAGCCTGAATACAAAATGAACTGTAGGTTACTCTCAATGATATGTCAGCCAGAAAAAAAACCGTCGACACAATTCATTTCGGTCTAACGGATTTTAAAACGTCAAAATTTGCAATTGCAAAAAAGTGTTATTTCGAATGGAAAACTGGTAAAATTCTTATTTCTGAACTTATTTCTGCAGCCTTTGCATACTTAAGATTCAATGTGTTGTCTGAAAGTTTCATTTCAGGGATTCACCTCTTTAAAACTTTACATGTAAAATTTTATTTAAATTTCTCAATTGCAGAGCTTTGGCTTGGAGAAAAATTCTTGCTGTTCATCCCCTAATTCTTGGTAAGTGTTTTTACACAAGATAACTTTGCAACGCCATCAATCAGCGAGTACGAATTACGGTAAGCCTCAAACAAATAATGTTTTGACTGAGATTTAGGCACCTTAACAAGTTCACTGCCGCTATTATCCAGTTCCAAAGCATATCTATCTTACGCTGGAAGAAATTTGATGGACGTTGAACACGGAAACTATGATTTCATAATCTCCGAATTGTATTTCGCTCATGAATTTTTTGCAACTACCTTCAGTTGGAAGTAGAAGCAATGGAAACGAATTGACATCGGATTGCAAACAATGGTTAAAAAAGGGAGGGGGAAAAACATTTCACATACCTGATAGCACTGTACTAGGATGAATATATTATCCACTCCCACAGCTAGCACCAAGAAGGGGACCACTTCCATTATGATGAGTGTGGCAGGTACCCCTATGAATCCAAACACTCCTATGGAACAGGCCACACTGCTCATCACAATCACCACTCCCCCAATACCCACTGTGATCTTCATGTCCACTAGAGTGCGCATTCCACACCCACCCACCTATACGCACAAATAAGACTTCATTTGTGAATAGATTAGAATAACATGGACTTAAAACAAAATGAATCTAATATAATAGTTTTATATAAAATATATCTAAATATAAAACTTTTATATAATATCTACACAGAGGCGAATAAAATCAAATGAAAAAAAAACATCAGAAAAAAACCTTCAAAAATCGTTTTTGTTATGAAATTTAAAAAAAAATAGCAAAAAAGACAAAAGTCTGAAGCAAAATTACCTGCACCATTAAAAACTTTACAAGGAGCTGTTGGAATGCTAGAAAAACGCCGAACTTTCAAAAAAAATCCTTTCTGCTGGAACTAAGCTGGAAAAAAAATCCAACTGGAATCGAACTACTGGACTTTGACGTCAGGCACGGGTACAGCAACTTGTACGAAAGCAGAACCTTCAAAAAAATTGGGTTTGGGAAACTAAGCCGAAAACAACCAGGACGATAGTCCGAAAAATTACAGTAATTCAAGTTGGCAAAAAAACGGATTCGAACCAGAACACAAGCCTTTGCTGTCTCAAGCAGCTGTGTTACCTCTACGCCAGATGGTTGATTGAATTTGAATTTATAACCAGCAGACAGGAAAAGAAAGTCACAAATTCCAAAATTGAAAAAAAAACCTTCAAAAACCATAACTTACTGGAATCATGTTCTATTAGCGTAAAACTCGTCAGCGGTTACTGAAAATTCAAAAAAAAGCGGCCACTGAACCGACAAAACTTGAATAATTTCACGTAGAACCGAAAATATAACTTGTCATGAAAAACTTCGAACTATAAATTCTATTCTGAGAATTTTAGCATTTTGTTCGACCTGGAACGAAGCATAAAAATTAAGCTTCCCTTGAAGTGACCACAAATTAAGTCCCTAACCCGATAAAATAAAAACCGAAATCATTCAAGTCGAATAAAACATTCAAGCGGAAAAAAAGCTAAAATCAAAAATATACAACTTGTAAAAATTGCACGAGTAATTCTAAGCTCTAAAAGCAACTCTTTAAAACTGTAAAAATCACTTTTACGATGTGGCTACTAAGCCGACAAAACGTAGGTTCGTGGTCAGATTCGAATCCAGGACCTTTGCCGCATCGGGCGTGCTCCTCGCCTCCAAACGCATAAAGTGCTGGAGACGCAAAATAATTTTAATTCATTGTGAACTAAGATACAAGTGATTCTGGTTAACAAGTTGTTAACCCGATAAAAAATCTATATTCCGATTTGTAAGCGTAAATATAAATTAGAATAAAATAGACTTCATTGAGTTCAGAAAAAAATGCCATTCACCATAACTGGAAAGTATTGTCTCAAATTTCAATTAAGTATTGTGTAGCCAATTAATCAAGCCACAAAAAACAAGTAATGATAACGAGTAACGCTTTACTTTAAATGAATCGTTTTACCGTTAATTTAATTTTCATTTTTAACCCAGCAGCATCTTACCCCAAATGATTCTATCAGCTGTTTGGTATTAAACTCAGCACCTACAGGTGTAAGAAAAAAATTTTTGTATGATTCTAATTCTCTTTACAATTTTCACGTTTCGATACATTAGAACGTCAAATCTTCTACATCCTCAAGTGCTTTGTGGAAAGTGGTGATGTCATATTTTGAAACTGTGTTTCATGATTATTCTTCAAGTTGAACTCCAACCTTTCCGAGGCAGCAGGTAATGTAGCCGAACATGATGAGGTAGCTGCAGATGACAGTCTTCACATCCCCCTCCGACGCCCTCTCTATTTCATCCTCAATTGACCTCTGGGCCTGGTAGGCCACGTGCAGGTGGGGGTGGTCAAGGGCAAACTGACGCACTAAGTCTAGGTAGCTAAACACAGGTAAGATGTTTGATTGCAGTGCAGTTATTAATAATGACTTTCGCCATTTACTCCTTTATTAAATTATTATAACTATGGATGCTTATTTTGTGTATTTTTTTATTTTGAGAAATAAATAAACTTCAACCCACATTTTCCCTGGAAAAACGGCGAAGATAAGAGAACTGTTCCATTCTTTGAAGCTAACAGCTGTCGATCGCTTTAAAGACCTACATGACATATTATAATTTTTGCATTGAAGGGGGAAGATAAACTGGACCATCGAAATTAACTGCATCAATAAAAATATTAAACAATTTTCATGTTGATTTTGATGCCCTAGCAACTGAACAGAAAATACCATTGTTTCCATAATACCATCCCCCTCCCATCATAACAAAATCCTACTGTGATGCGCCTAAATACATTTATTGCTACTAGGCTAGGTGGGCGTTAATAGGAAAAAGCTAAAGCCGAAAAATTATCCCAAATTTAAAAATGTATTCCGGTATACAGTCTATACAGGTTTGTATTCAAAATATTAAAAGACACTTTGCCAGTATTCTATGATCTAACTCGTCAATAGTTATAACTTATAAGTACCTCTGTTCGAAGTCTTCTGCTATCTCCCTCTCTCTACTATTGAGACTGTTCTTCACAAGAATAGTCACCACCAGCGCAGTCGCCTTTTCAAACTCCTCTTCTAGAAACACACAAGACGTACATGAAGTAAGTACACAGAATTTACTTGATCAAAAATATGGATCTCTTCAACTATCTCCCCCCTATTGCAATAGGGGGGATTATTTACTAGGTACAAAACTCCTATATGCTTAACCATTGAATTAGTTCTTTCTAGAGTGGCAATTTAAGGCATGTAGCCAGCCAAAAAATTGACTGCCAAAAAAAACCTAAATGCTCGCACTTAGCGTGATCAAATTGTAAGACTTTTCTTGAAAAAAAAACACGACTTAAATAAGTGTCTTCACTTCATTCATTGACACTTAATAAACGCCATTATAAATCATTTGTACATAAAATTAAGTTCACAGTTCAAAATCATTCAGTATATATTTTTAAATTCACATTTTGAGTACTCTTGAAAATTTTAATTGTGGGGGACAGGAAAAGAGTCAAACTCCCAAATCCGCTACTGCGTGTAGGTGCACATGACTTATGTATCGCTGTGAGCTGCTCAGATCTCATGCACGCGAAAACAATCAGCAGCAAGCCAAAAAAATATTCCAAACATACTTAGATTCAACATTATCTCCGAATCGAGCTATTCGTTACAAGTCACTTGCTCTCGCAAGTGAACTCAACAATAAAATAGGAATGCCTCTATGTTGACAAGGCAATATTAATATTAAATAAATCATTTTCCATTTTCACAATTGCTGCCATTTTTAAAGGTATATTTCATCCATGATTTCAATTCCAACGTGGATCTACAAATGTATACAGTCTCTCGAATGTTCAAATTAGACTAAATGTGCGATGCCATGTATAGAGTAATATTTACAATAGATAAGATAACAGTGTAGATAATGATACTGTCCAACTCACTGTGCTTAGGGTCATCCAACAAATGGCGAATGGAGTCTAAAAATCAATATTTCCCACCTCAGACCGATTCAAGTCTCCACAAGGAGCAAATGAACTTTTTTGAACTCTTTTGAGCAGATTATGACTATTACTTTAATGATCTGAGTCCGCAAGGAGCAAATGAACCGAACGTATTTTTAGTTACTCAAGATTAAAATCATCAAATTTAAGCCGGGTACGTCTATCTATTCCATTAAAATACTTTTCTTTTAACTACTTAAGAGCTGACCTTTGAAGCCTCCTAGTACAATCAATGGTTCCATGATTCCTCCCCACGAGGCCAGGCAGGAAGTCCTGAGAGGCGTCCCGTCATCCAGTCTAGTAGGAGACCTAAAGAGATACCAGTTTCGAAATCCGCTATTTGCGAAATCAAGGACTAGCAGCTGTCAATATAAAATGGTCACTATTTATTCTCAATTACCCACATTTTGATTCTTTGGCCAGAGTATCTTTCTGGCAGCATAATTTCATTTAGTGCCCTCTAATTCAATAATTTCAACAGCACAACATTTTCGAAAAGATCGAAAGAGACCAATCATCAAGACCTATATAAAAGTCATCACTACTACATTCATTAAGTCTTAACAAAATATGACCAACAGAACATCCAAACGAGCTACTTAAATTCTAACATAGCCAATAAACAGTTGGAAAAGAGTCAATGAACGCAAGTAAACAAAAAAATACTGACTTCATTTTTGAGGAACCGAACTTTCGAACTTCCTAGAAAAAAAATTTATGTCCTTAAAGCCCTTAAGAATTTTTAGAACAATTTATGATTGCCAATTTTTTGATAAAACAAACCCAATTTGAGAAAACTGGATCAATAGCTAAAATTTTTACTTCGCATGAAAATTTGATAATAAATTAGAATAATAAATTCGAAACAAGTATCAGGTATCCAAAATTGTATAGAGTATAACTGCACAATTTAACAAAATTCAGGTGAGAAAATAGTGACTCCAATAAGGAGTTGGACCGTAAACACCAATACCTGACCAGCAGTAACGTCACATTACCTTTTTGCAAAACGCCGGACAGCTGCTGTAAAAGGTACGTAGCAGCTAGCCGCGGGTCACGGTTGATAATTATATTCCATTTTCCAAGCAAAAAGTCGATAACGTTTTCGTGACCTTTACCCTTTCGCTATTTGAGATTGGAATTGCCTTTCTTTTAACGAAGGAAAAGAACTGAACTTAAAAGAAATCAAAAGTCAAGCCACGAAAAAAATTTGAGCCTGAACAAACTCTCTTTTCTGAAAAAATTCATCGCGACCTATATAAGACTCTGAACTACGTTCATAGACTCTTAAAAATTTCGATATATTCTAAATACTAGTCTCCCATATATTAAATAACAAGCTGCACTTCGCAAACACAAGCGACAAAACGCCAAGTAGATTTAAAATCAAAAACAAAAGCGAAGAAAAATTTATAAAACGTCAAGTAGCTTTAAAATCAAAAACAAAACAAAAGAAAAAAAAGAGTTTTGAAAAATAAATGCCCTCAACGGCTGAAATCGAAACACAGCCCTGCAGCATTTTATTTTCACGTTGGATTGGAAAAAGTGGATTTGAATTATAACACATTGCTCTTAAGGTCGCTTGAGTAAAAAGCTAAGACACCCACTCGATGCACGCTCTGATGTGTTTGTAATGGTCGGCATTGATCACTCGCTTCCTCCTCGTTCTGTAGCTCTTCTCGTCTATTGTCTCGTGTGAGTTCTGGAACCACTCCGTCACACTCATTATTGCACATCTACAATACAATAAACACAATTTTAAACATCACAGACAAGAAGCAAAATTACTACCAGAATCAGATTTCGGAAGGCATGCAGTTATGAAAGAATTTCAAGAGGTTTAAGAATTCAGCACCAATCACACAAGGGTTCCTCTTACGACATCCAAGTACAAATTTGAACAATACAATCTTTGGCGCAACAATACACGAACATAAAAAAGGCAAATTATCACCAAATCTATACGGGAGTGGTCAAAAAATATATACGCCAGTGTCAAGGCGTAAGCAAACTGCCAGCGAAAAACTGCGAAACACTTCATTATTCAAACTTCAAAATATTTCAAGAGTAGACACTATCAATTCATTCACTACCACACATGATTCATCAAGCTCATATGACAGCTCAAACCAGACAAAAGAATCATTTGTGAAAAACAGGATAATCGGTGACTATGTTCAAATCGTTGCATTCAGATGAAATCAGTTCTTCAAAAAGTTTAAGACAAGGCTTTATTCAGCTGTTGCCTATGAGTAAGAGAATCTGAAGAAATTTTTGCTGAACTTCAACCGTCCGTAAAAGAAATGACTCAGTGTTTGTTAGACAAGTTGTAAACCTGAAAAAAGTCAATCTTCCAAGTTGATGACGCTTGCTAACTGCGAGCGTAACACCATTAACGAGCTTATAGAAGGCCAAAAATGATTGAAGGTTTAGAGCAATGATATGTACTTGTCGTTGGCGGGTGCCATGGGCTTATGGCAGATGTCGGAGAGAGTGACATTTCTCTCATGTCGAGTGGAGTACACTGTCAGGTTGGAGATGTTCTCTTGCAACGACAGCACCTGAAACATACATCTTACTTCATACATATAGCTATACAATTCATGGTGAAAAAACTGCCGCAGTAAGTGCTGAGAAATTGTATATCAAACGAAAGTTGTGTATTTTCATTTTCATACACTGCGAGTCGTAAATGTCGCAACTCAAACCTTTGCATTAGAAGACAAATTAGCCGATAAAACTTAGCAGAAAACTATTTAACTAAACGGAAAAAACAATGACGAAAATCGGTTAAGAATGACTAACATATCCCAAACCAAGCAAAATGAAATTTCAAAAGCAAAAAAACGGGAAAATCAGCCCTTGCAAATTTCACGTACTTTTTAGCCAAAAAAACTTGCTTATAGGTTTCTTTTTTTTTCATTTCTAGCTATTCAAATCCGCAATTGCGATTTGCCCGAAGTCATTCCCCTAAATCTGCATTGACTCTAGATCAAACAGACGATTGCAAACTTGTCAATGAACTCAGCGACACAGCAAAACAGAAAAAAAAGAAAAAACAGGGCCTTAAAGCTGTTTGAGCTTCAAGAATCTTTAATGATTGACACTTTTGTGATTAAAATAACCCAATTTGAGAAATTAGATACACAAATAAAGCTTTTTTTAAATCTAAAAATCTTAAAAGAAAACCCACTTTTGGAACTAAAAGCCAGGCTCTTTTCCAACATATCCTATGAGTTTTCCAAAACAAGTTTCGGAGAAAAATATGTAGAGGAAAAACAACCTTAACATTTTATATCACTCTAGCTGCTTAAAAAAACTTAAAAAAATTAACAAGACCAGAGTTTTCATCAAGCTCATCGACTCTCAACCAGATGAAAATTGAATGGGAAAAAATAATATGCGTTTTGCTGGTGCGAAAACTTTCCAAGGCTTATGATGGATCTGTAGGCAACAGAGGCAGAGGTAGGTCTCTCCATGTAATATTTTGTTTTTCTACGGCTATTCTACGCGGCTATTATTTATCAGTTTGATAGCTTTTTTAACCTTTTTAATTTATTAAAACTGTTTGAAAAAAATAGCTTTTTCCGGTTCACTAATTATTTTTAGAAAGTCAAAGCACAAGCTATCAAAAAGCCGTAAGGGTGCCACCAATATTTACAACTTAGGTTAGAAACAAAAAATAGCCATACTATTACACTAACGCTCACTAAAGGTGGCTAGTGTAAACAAATTGATATGTTATCATTGATCATGCTTAAAATTGTATCAACAAAAAATGATATCCGACTATTTGAAAATATGTTTTTATGCTTTAGAAGAGAATAAAAAGAAATGAACGAACTCAAAGGTAAATGGGCGTTATTTTAGAGGCTAAGTTCGCCACTTTAGTACCAAAGCCAGTAGCATTATAGATATTAGATTGTAACGGAAAACCATAAAAACAATTTTGAAAGTCTCATTTAACTCCGAAATGGTTGATTTTTTAAACTAACCCAGTTTTAGACTTGATGAATAGGAAATTATTTCATTCCACTAGGGATTTAGCAATTAAAACCCACTTTTGAAACTTAAAGCCAAGCTCAAATTATTACACTATTTGCTATTTGAGGGCGTAAATCATCTTATTTTTCAATTGAGTTTGAACTGAACTTGGAAAGAAAACAGAAGTTAAGCCGCCAAAAAATAAACAAATATTGAGCATGTATAAATGTCTGATTTTTTACTGAAAGAAAAATAAATCAAATAAATGCAATCAAAATTCTCAAAATAACAGTGCAAAACTTGGAGTGGTTTACAAAACTGCATTTTGGCCAACAGTTGACGGTTTTGGAGGATCTATATGCCGAAGGCAATTTGATTTTGAAAACAAAAACGTTGAAAAATTGCACCATTGCTTTGGATTTTAAATCCGTTCATGTTTTGAAGTTAAATCTAAACGCATGCTGAATCAATTCTGTTCAAACATGATTTACTCAAATGATGGCAAGTCTCCAATATCAGCAGAATTTTTTGAACCAGATCAAATCAGTATTAAAGAGGGACACACTAACACTAATACATGCATAAGTGGGACAAAATAGAGGCAATATAATTCCTATTTATATCACAGAGAGACCAATATTGGAAACACAGTCTCAATTCCGTCGAATTAGACCAGCAAACAGACTCATGTTTTATTGATCCTATTAACCTTCCCCTTATTTGCACGCTCCGCAGATTAGGTTTTAGTGAAAATCTCTTGTTTTCTGTCAACTAACATCCGGTCCGTCAAATACAACGAAAAAAAATCACTCAAAATTTAAAATACGGTACCAATTTTGATACATGTTAGTTGTCTAAAAAGCAGCAGAATGGAAAATTTACTCCCAACGGTGCCTTTATTTTTTGAACACTGAAGTACAATTATTTCTTTATAACAGAAGGTTCGCTTTAATTTGCAAACTTCAAAAACGGCAATAAATATTATGATTACCCTAAACATGTACGAATCCCCAAAAATCAACTGATTGTCTATTGCAACGTCTAACAAAAAGTGAACTAATTTTAAACTAGTGTAGAAAAACATTTTTAAGAGTCAAAAGTAGCTCATAGTGGCAACATTCTAAATTAGAACGACCATACTGGAACACTTTAAGATAAACAGTCAGACCATTTATCGTGACACATAAGTAAAATGTTTTTAAAATCGGCCAACAGTTGCAAAAGTGAAAATGAATCCAGGTTAACTGTTTTTCGAGCTTCTGAGTTTCGAAATGTGAAATCGTTCTGAGCTAATGAAAAAAAGTATGAAATGCTTTATAATTTGTTCATAAAGACGAGATCCTAACCTGATGAAGAATTGGAGCGTCCATAATGGGGTCCATGTCTTTGGGTCTGTATCTCTCCGAATATGCATCTGGCTCGTACCTAAAAGTCAAACGATTGAGACAGGAACAAATATTGGAAAAAGACTACACATCGAAAAATAACTTCCAAAAAACTCCAAGCAAAATTCAATCGAGTATAAGAAAATTCTTATCAAAGGCTAAGTAACACCACAAACTGATAAAACCATGTTTTTTTCTCAATTCCTCGAATGGGCACTCAGTTTTCCCTCACAATTGTAGATAAATGATATCGTTGGCCCACAATTGGTATCCAAGCGATAATTCGCAAGGTTAATTGCAAGTAGCTTCGCTGCGCTTACACTCGGCACAAGTGGTATTGTGTGCCTGATTCAGTATTCACGGCTTTCTCTACTGTCACGAATGGTTAAGAATTATAGTTACGAATTGAGGGTTTGGGCCAGAATAATTAGTATACCTGATGGCACCAGTGGCGTTCCTCTTGAGCTTGACTATGATCTGTTCTATTCTGAAGAAGGGGCCGAAGTGTGAGTTGAAGTGCTCCATCTCCCTGTATGCCTCACTGCCACTCGACGACCACAGTTCAACTGGGTCTGTAGTCCAGCGAACATAGTGCAGACTAAACACACCCAAAACATCTCTGTACTGTGCTGGGTAGCTTACAAAATCAACACAGAGGCCTAGCAGAGCTTCGCACAACTTGCGATACACAAAGCCATCGAATCGCAAAAAAATGACAAAAAGCGAAAAAAAAACAACACCAGAAATTTTCAAATGTTTTTTACTTCTGTCTTTGTTTTACTGACTACATTGTAGCGCAATTCAATGTTTTTCAAGTTGTTTCAATACTGGCTGTTGTGTTCTGCCACAGGTTTTCATTAAAATGAGTTTCAGTTCAAAACAGTGGCAGAACACAACAGCCAGTATTGAAACAACTTGAAAAACATCGAATTGCGCTACAATGTAGTCAGTAAAACAAAAACAAGTAAAAAAATATGAAAAATTGAGTTGAAAAAATTACTTGAAAAAATGGGGAAAACTACAGCTACAAAAACTTCATGATTGTATCAGTTGAATTTCATAAACAGTCTTAAAAACCATTGGAAATCATTCACCGAGCGGCAACAAAGGCAGCAACTTTTGGGTCAAAACCTGTTGAGCCGATAACAAAACTGTTGTCATTACATTGACAAAAAATTTCAAGTTTTTAAAGTTTTTACGAGCCATCCATAGTGAAGCACATAATCCTATGCTGACATACTTTTCCCTCAAAATTATGCAACATAAAATGGCTAAGCCGAAATAACAATCTGCTTACATATTTAGAAAACAAAAAGAAAAAAATATATACGCAGAATCCGATGTTGTAAGTTGACAAATTACTGAACATTACGGTTTAGTATAAAAACACTGTTTAAATTGGAACAAACCCCATGCATTAAAAACAAAAACCCTACGAGATAAAAAAAATGTGCGTTTTGAAAAAAAAAACGGAAAATGAACCGGCAGAAACTAGGACGAAACCCATGAAGCCGAAAAAAAATTTGAGAAAATTTTTAGAAAAAATTATTTACAACCTGAAACAGTCTTAAGCTAATTACTACGTAAATGATGGTAGTTTTACTTGAATTTCAGGACATAGAGCATGTCAGAACTGATATTAACTATTCCTACTAAAATGACCATACTGTGAACTAAAGTGTTTATGGTTGACCATGGTTTACCATGATAATGATAATAATCAGTGATCCGAAGACGCGGAAGCCCCTGATAATTTTGAACACTCCCATGAAAAACGCCTTTTTGTCTAACATCCCACTATCGCTTAAATTTGAAGCCGTGCGAATTAAGTACAGCAGTACTTTTTACCACAGATACCTTTTCACCACTTTTGCTGAATATTTTTTACATCCTTATTCTTCCTTATTAACGAGCTAATATTTTCCAACTTAGGCAAATGATGGACTGGTTATACAACTTCCCTTCCCCTTTGCATAACGAAAATTATTAAGTAGATATAAAAAGACATCAGTAGACCAGATAAGACCAGAAAGCTAATTTCAGTTTCATGAATTCGTCGCTTAGTAACACAGCGATACATAATTCATTTTATCCCTTCATTTGCTTTCTAGGACAAAAACTACCCTGGCCAGTTTGGAAAATCGCGGTTTTCACCATGCGTTTTCAGACACAAATAAAGTAAGCGTTTGAGTGCTTTTCCGGTTGAAATGGAATCAGTTTTTGAGCTGAGAGCATTAAATTTTGCTTGAGCTTAGCAAGGCTTTCATTCAAATTTTTTATTAGTCTGAATTTTGCCCATGCACATAATTTATGCAAAGGTTTTGAATTGCTCTTTCAGCATAGCAAAGCACCATTTACATAATGTATTCCACTCTAACCTCGTAACTACTCAGGTTGCCACTACCAATTACTCAACTAACCAAAATCTACCATTTCCTCGCTGAAAAGCACTAATTGAGTTCTATTTGCAGTTAGTGTTACCTTTTCAGCATCACGTTCAAGTTAAAGTTACTTTTTCACTGAGCCAAGGTGGTACAAGTTCAAATATATGCTCAATAAATTTGATTTCCTTAATATGTGAAACTCAATTAAATAACAACAATTTGAGAAAGAGAACGTTGGTTTAAAAAGCATCAGAAAAAATGCCGTTGCAGATCAAAACAAAATTATGAACAACATCTAGCACACCGGTTAAGCATCATTTCATGATCACGTTTTTTATTGACAAAACGACTACTGACAATTAATTATAGTAATTGCTCTCTTAATTTGTCGCGTACATTTTTGACATAAAAAGATGAACTTTCTTAGCATCACGCACAAAAAGAGTTGTCAAAAACCGCGTAGTTTATTATTCTTTCGTCTGCCTACATATCATAAGATTGACTAGCATGAATAAGACTACCATATTAACTAAAAGGTATCCATAACTTTCTTTCAAACAATGAACTGCATACAGAAACAATTAACCGATACCATATAAGCTGAAAAATTCAGCATGTGGGGTACCTCAGTAGCAATATCAGTAAACGAACTTTTCTGTCAAATTTTTTGAGACTGAGTTTACACAAAAAGGTCAAGCGCACCTTCGCATCACTTGGATAAAAAAAGTCAATGAATATTATAAACATTGGTCGCAAAAAAATTACAACCCAACCATAAGAAACATAAGTCGAAAACATAAAAGTTTAAAAAAAAATAGGTCCTCCATAGTTTTCGTATGTCTCGACGCACCGGCAAAGCTGTGCTTGACAATTTTAAGCGAGAATTCGACAAAAAAGCAGCTCCATAAAGTGAAGTAAGAAAAAGTAGAAATAAGCCACGAATGAACAAAAAAAAATCGACTTTTGATTATGAGCCTCACCCACTAGCCACTCAGTCACGGAACTTAACAATTCATAAACACATGCCACATAAATGGCAGAGAACAGATGCTTTGAAGTTTCTAATGCTACAGATCGCGATTATAGCAAAAGTGCCACCAAATGGGCACTTTTATTTGAGAGTTAGGTTGCAAAAAAGACGGTTCGTACTAACACATTACGCTCGCAACCTTGCCAGTGTAAAAAAGTTCATTTTAGGCAATCATGAGTGCAAAACTGTTGAATATTGAAATAGCAACGGAACAAAACTGGCGAAGCGGAAACAAATCCGACAATGTTTGAGCAGATAGACATCAGTTGATCCAAAAAAAAAGATTGTAGAGAAGTAAAAAAAATCATCTTCATACATACTGAAAGATTTGGCCGGTACACTAACCCTAGACCTTACGCTGCAAACGCAAACACGTTACCTCTAGGCAAGTGCGAACGAGCCTGAAGTAGTTAACGTTCAATACAGAGGAGAAGCTTCGCTTCACAAACACATGCGAGAACACGACAAAAAGCAGCTTTATAATGTGCAGTCAGAAAAAGTATAAATAAGCTCGAATTAGTAAAAATTCGGCTACGTCTTGAATTGCATCTTGCCACCTACTACGATCAAGAGATTGTGAATCTCATGCACAAACCACTCAGCCACGCACGCTTAATACATCACAAACACTAGCCACAAAAAAGCAGAGAATAAGGGAACACTTTCCTCTTTCAATGACCACATTTATTTGCTATTTAGGTTAGGAAAAAAAGAAAGTTCGTACTAATACACATCACACTGATCGCAAGTGTAATAATAAAGCAAGTAAGAAAAAGAAGTAGGATTTGTAAGAATTGATTACGGGAAAAAAACTAGTTCCCGATTACAAGACATTAACTCTAGCAAGTGTAAAAAACCAAGAAAAACGAAAAAGAGTTGACTAAAAATGTTCAACTATGGAAAAACGACACCAGGTTAAAACTCAGGTTGAATTTCAAAAACTGTTTAATTGGGCGCTTGTTATTAAATGATGTTATTAAGAGAAAACAGGAATAGGCAATTTTTTTTACAGCTGGAATTCAGAAAATTAGGGCCCTTACACTTTTTTGCGACTTTTAGATTTTCGCTGTTCAATAGCGAAGTTTGTTTTCTTTTTAAAAAAGAAATCAAAAGTCATACAGCAAAAACCCATATTGAGAGAGAACAAACAAAGGCTTTCTCCAGACAAAAAATCATATCATCAAGAACTATATAACTGGAAATCACTTCGATCGTTTCACTTAATACAAAATCAAACAATTTTTTTTTTCGCAGTTGACTGAAAACTAAACACGAAATAACAGAAAGAAGTCTCTATGTTCCGTTTTGATAACGGGTGCTAATCGCAAGCTTAAAGAAAACAGGAAACCGCAAAAACAGTGAATGAAAAAAATATCTGTCGCTACGCACATGATAGTCAAAAATATTACTACAAAAGTTAAGAGGGCTTCAATTCAAAACTTAGTTGAAAGCAACGCAGTACTTGGAGGAAAACAGTGAAAAGAGGTCAATTAAATTCAGACCAAATAACAAAAGAAATCAATTTGAAAGTCTCAGGACGAACTATGTACCTAAACCAGACAAATCTGAGACGCTATTACTTCGCCATTTTCACAGTAAAAACTATATTAATGCGCAAAATTAATCTGGAAATCGGAAAAAAAAAGAAAAACAGTTCAAAAATTGTTTTGAAAAAAAATTTAAAAATCTTCAGAAAATCTTGATACTCAATTTCTTGCAGCATAAAAAAATTAATGAAATGACAATTCGAAATGAATACCTGAAAATTCAAGAAAAACACCTGCTGATGGGAAGTAAGCCGACATAAAACAAGCTGACACACGATAGTCCAAAAATTGGCTTTTTCAGACCAAAAAAATCATGTTTTGCATAAAAACTCAGGTCCGCGCGGAAGCGATCTCCATACCTTCTATCGTCTTAAGCATCAGCATTACCTCTGCGCCCATTGAAATCGAAACTGAAGCCGTTAAAATAAATCTGAGCGTCAACAATTTTCAAGACTTTTTCGAAACACAAAACTCAACACGATACATGCAAGTATATTCAATACGTTCATTGACACTTAATAAGTAAACTGGCTTTGTCTTCAAAATACACTATAATCAGCAAGAAAACGAAAAGATTTTTAAAAAAAATTTCCAGTTTGTTAGTGAATGTTAGCGCTATTCGTTAAGATCATTGGCTGAAAGATATCAGAAAACGTAATTTTGAAATTTTCTGACACAACTGATTTAAATGACTGGTTTCAGACAAAAATTTTGAGATAACTTTGATTTTGAGATACTTCAAAGGGAAAATTTTCCTAAATTTGATTCAAATGGTAGTTTAGTTTTGAAAAAATCGCGAGCTAAATTGTATAGCAGGAGGCAAAAATTGAGACTCAATGCAATCTATGTTCCTCAAGAGTTTCCAAGAGTTGAAGTACATAACAAAGCAAGTAGACTGTAAAAGAACATGGTGAAGTTAAAGTTCGAAGATTTTCCAGTAGTATCTCACACACGTTTTCCACTCATCAGTAATACACACATCATCAAAACTCTAATCTTTCCAATTTTTGCAACTCCAATCGTTTTTGCTAATAAAAATCGGCGATTGAAAGCCTTTTCTTGGGTGGCTTCTTATCTAAGTTGTTTCATTTGAGAAATAGCCGAGCCAATGACGCTTCTATTGTCTGTCTTTTTTGCATGACAATTTGTAGTTTTTTCTACAAAATACTTATTTTTCAGCACCAGTGGGACGCTTCTGTTAACCATACCTCCTGTTTCACTTAATTCACTTCGGTTTCCCACTTCCTCTTACTTTGGAGGTGTTCCCCGTTTTGTACTCTTTTCATTTTTCGGTAAGGTGTGGCCTTAGAACGGTTGACATTTCATACTTCACACGAAATTCTTCCGATGCGTAAACTTTAAAGTAAAGAGGTAAAAGTAAAAGCAACTTTGAAAACTGAAATGTAACAATTCAACAAAAATGAGATAAAAACGATGTGACTATTCATCTTGACATATGTCTCAATTACGATTACCTAACCGGAAGTTTTCTTTGTCTGAGGTTTTGCCCAATTGTAGCATCTTAAGAGCTACGGGCAATTGAATGTACCTCCAAGTCTCATTTTTTCCTCCTACTATACTTGAATTGCTTCCTGCTAAAATTGTAGGCTGACTGCCCAGTTGTAAGTGGTTGGTGCTAAGGCAATCGTTCTTTTACAAAATTTTCTGATTTCGAGACTTTTTGATGGTTAAGCTTATGGCTTAGCTTGGAAAACGACAAGAATAGCAAACAGAAGTTTGGAAAAGCATAAAAGAACAAGGAAACCGAAACTAAAGTTGACTGAAAACTTTTGACATTTTTCACTTTCGAAGAAAAAACTAAATCAGGTTACAGCTCTTTGAATTTGAAGAATAAATCGTGATTGGCACTTTTTCGACAACTCAATTTGGGATCAATGGGATCAAATTAAAGCAATTTCGGATCAATGAGTAAATCTTCAAATTCGCTGCTAAACAAATTTAAATTAAAATCCACTTTCATAACAGGAAGTCGTTCATGTTTTTCGTGACCTTTATACTTTTGCTGTTCGATAGTGGAGTTCGCCTGCCTTTTAACAAAAGAAATGAAATGAATTTGAAAAAAAAATGAAAAGTCAAACCGCGAAAAAATAAGTTTTAGCCTGAACACATTTTAGGATTTTTCCTGAAAAAAAAAACACGAAAAAAATTCATCGCGACCAATATGAGAGTCTGAACTATGGTCATCGACTCTTAATAACTAATACCAACTAATCTAGATACATTTATTTACATATGCAGTTAGTCTACGGCACATATTATGATGTTGTAGATGTTTTTGCAGATGCACAATTTTTTCTTAATATCTCATTTGAGCAAAACCTAATGAATATGTTGACATTTTAAGAAAACTCCGCAGATGCAGAAGACAAACCAATAGCAGACGATTAAATAATATTTGAGCGCATCTCACCCGTTGCTACACACAGCTACGACCATACTTCCAAAGAGAAGAGCGGCCACTGGCTGACATGCCATAGTGAGACCCCACTGGAAGAAGAACGAGTGCAACGCAGACTGGAACCTCCTTCCTACACAAAAGAGCAACATCATCATTCAACTTCTCTTACCAAATAGTTTTTACTTAGCCAGTTTGTTTTCTGAGCCTAACATGGCAAACTCAAAATTACGACATACTTGTGCTGCAGATGTGACGTTTTTGCACAAGTATGTCGTAATTTTTTGTTAGCCAGGTTCAGAAAACAAACTGGCTAAGTATAAACTATTTTGCTAACTAAAGACATTTTAATAGTTTCTTGGCTGCTCAAGTTTACATAATCTAAGCCAGTGTCTAGGGTTTATCTAAGGGGTATCTTTTTGCTATGATGGCCAAATTTACTTCCAGAGCTCCCCCAATACACGAAAAAGATCCTATTATGCCTAAAACAATTTTACATAATGAAAAATGAAGGTCGAAATATACCACGAAAAAACCCTCAACCCCCCCCCCCCTCCCTCTCCCCTCCTCTACTTCCCCCTCCACCTGATCGTAACTACAAAAATACATCTACTTAGAGTATGAAAATTCAGCAATCGACTTACCGATCTGCTCGAACACGCCCACTTCAACAACCACTACTCCCCCTCCACTGCCTTGAGTCTGATTAGTCCCGTCTCCTCCGCCGTCAGAGTTCATCGAGTTCTTAGAGGAGCAGTTTTGCACTGTTGACTGTAACAAGCAACGATTAAACAATTTATCAAATTTGCAAAATCAAACTAATTACACTACATCTCATTTCAGAAACTTTTCTTCAAAACAAGAGAAATATTTACAGCTCAATAAGATCTAATCTACAACTAATAATGAGATTGTTCAAATGAACCAAAGTTTTGACAGCTTAATTGAAATAAATTGAAAAAAAAATTGAAAGATAAATATCAAAAAAAAAATGTTTTCACCTTTGAAATATACTGCGAATGCTGCTGGTGATAATTATAATTAGGCGCAGCCACATATTGGTCTTCGTCGTCTGGCTTCTTGTAGTACAAACAGTGCATATAGGACACCACAATATATATACAAGACACTGTAATGTACAACACTGCAACTACCACCACATATCCAGGGATACCCAGCAGGCGCCAGGGAGGGTTGCTGGAATCTAGAGGGGCTCCTGGATTGGGACCCCGAGGAGGCCCTTTGCATGACTGAGGACAGTCCATGCAGCTGCAGGGTTCACTGTTGTTGTAGCCACGGGCATTGCACTGGAACAGGTCCAAGTCCAACGGATGAATGCCTGAAGCAAAAAGAGATCCTGAATGCAAAATTAATCTAAAACCAGCGCATCACTAAATATGCTTCAGACGAGACTCCGCTCTATTGAAACTTTACAAATATTAACAAAATTGGTTGCTGGCACATACCGTTTCACGTCTACTGTATAACCTACTGAATAGAAAGAATGGAGATGATATGAAGGTCTTGAAACTTTTTATCCTGAGCCATACTTGATTTTTGCACTAATGAAAGTATTTGTTTACATTTTAAAGACCCAATTCTACCTTACCTTTTTCTGCGTATTTTGCCCTCTGATTATCTTCCACAATTTCAAATGTGAACTCTGAGGGCGACCTTTTGTTCTTCTTAGTTCCAATGTAGTTCAGAAACAACTCCGGCGAGCACTTATCTACTGGATTCTCAAAGCACATCTTTGAGATTACCTCTTGAGATGCCCCGATGAACTTCACATGTGCACAGGACCTGCAGCAATTCACAGAACGCAAGTTTGAATCTTTATCAAAATACGATTTTGTGACAAAAATGACCCATTTTTGATATCCAACCTACCAGAATATCCCATTTCAATTTCATAATCAAGACAAGGTAAACATTTCCTCAAAGCAAGTCTAAATCTTAGTCGACTTTTTCTATCTTGTTCTATTCTGCACCGTTTTTGTAGATTGGTCTCGACTTTAAATGAAAAATTCGATTCCGACTGAGTGACTACCTGTACAGATTGTGGGCGTAGTCCCTGCTGAGGTAGATAGTGACTGCATCCACCGATTCACTGTACTCAGGCGGACTATCTTCACTCCACTTGCCATCTAAACCCACTTAAAAATTAAAAAAGAGCAAACACGAGGCTAAGAACCACGAGGTATGCCTGAAGTATCCTGCATTTCTTCCCTAATAACTGTCCCTCTCCTTATGTGAGCTCTACACAATGAAGTCATGGAAAAAGATTCCGAAATTTTTAGTAGTTTTACCTTGCCTTCTACATTGTTGCGTTTTGAATTTGAAATAAAATTAAATTCCATATAGACCAATTTTACAGTCAACAAATTTCGATCCAAGAAACTTTAGAACGAGGACAACTCAACTCCAGAAAAATCTATACAGATTTTAATCATTTTCCGAGGGTGAGGTGGAAAATTTTGACTTCGCTAGTGCTATTTAGGGTGCTCGAAGTTGTGGGTGCGAGGCAAACAATTCGACTAAAAGACCTAAAAGGTCACTATAATATTCTTTAAATCAACCTACGGGCATGTTAAAATTGCATAGATAGGACAGTGAAGCATGCAAAATGAGCTATAAAATTGACATATGACATTTAGAACGAGGACAAAAACAGACAGAATGCAACTTAGTACATTACCGGCGTCACTCCATTTGCTTGATGCCTTCAATTCGCTGCCTTAAAATGTATTCAACATTTAACTCCAACACATGAACAAAATCAACCATTGATAATTGATATCCTTCCTAATCATTTTCTCAGATCCAGGGTTGAGCATTTAGTCGACCTTTTTTTAGGTCAACCGAATTGCTTTTTCGAGCTCTTTCAAGTCGCAGACCCTATTTTGATCCAAATTTCTGCAGTGCAGGCTAATTTTGACCCTGAATCTACTACTAATTTTAACTATTCGCAAGTGTAATAAAAAATTTTAATTGATTTCGTTATTTCTGTTTTTTTTTTTCGATTATTTTGATCCATGGAAGTTTTAAATTCTAGTCTTTTGATATTTCCAGAAGTCTCGTGACTTACTGTAGGGTACAGTGGCAGTGACGTTGGAGAAGGTGGACTGGTCCGGATGGCAGAGGAGATTGCACCAGAGGGACTCGAAGTTCTGCAGACAGGAGGGACACCTCCGGAATAACATTCTCACTGTCGCCATTTGGTCCTAAAATCCTCAGATATATTGAATCTCAGTTCTTCTCGAACAGGCTAATAGCTTTGAGACCGCTTTAGGTTTGCTGGACAAGCAATTCCGTATAACGACTCAGGTTATCTATGCTCACTATGGGGTGATGTCGTTTATGCAAAATTCAACCACAGAGCCAACAGACAGTTGCAAAAGAGTCAATGAACGCAAGAAAATAGAAAAAAAAACTGTTTTTTTAAATAAACTTCAAGAAGTTTATAGTTTTTTTTAATTAACTTCAATTTTCGAAAAAAATATATAATCTTAAAGCTCTTCGACTTTATGATCGACATAAATTTGATAAACTTAACACATGTAGAGAAAACTGAATCATCAATAGAAGATGAAATTAATTCATGTTTTCTTAGCGCCATTTCCGCTTTTGTTAACTGAGCGGGTAATTTGCTTTGCTTTAAGCAAATGAACTTGAATTGATTTCAAAAATTGCACATATACCGAGGAGGGGGGGGCTGCGGATTTTTAAAAAATTTCAACATTAGATTGACCAAAAATTTTGTCGAAATTTGTTCTAGGTCGACCAAATTGATTTTTTGAGCTCTCCAAAATCACTATAAAGACCCAATTTGGGCAAAGCTTTTCTGCGCCGCAGACAAATTTTTGAAGAAACAGGCCAAAAAAGCGTTTTAGGCACTTTTTGGAAATTTTTTAATCAAAAACTCGCGCGTTTTGGCGCGCGCTCCCTCTTAAAATTAGTATGCAATGGCGCCAAATTATACGGGTCAGTCAGCCAAAAATGGATATCTCAAAATTGTACAGAGGGGGGACAAAGAGGGGGAGAGATAGCTCAATAGGTACTCGAGACATGTTTATAACCACTTGAAAATAGTTTGCATGATATGAATTCATGAAAGAGATTCTCCAACGAATTTTGAACAAAAAATTTTTCAATATCAAAGCTCAAAATTTAAATTCAGTGATGAAAAAAGAATCAATAAAACTGAGGCACTTAAAGCGACTTTTTTCTGACCTAAATGGAAAAAAACTATTGCGTACAATATTAAAATGCCGAGGATAACAGTTTTTGGTATTCAGACACAAGGCTAGAGCACCGACCCTGATAACTCGATTTCCGAATGGTCGCCCAAACAAAATTTGCCAACATTTTTTTTTCAAATTTCGATTTTTTTCCTTTTCAACATTTTTCTCGATACTCATATAATGAACTTCAGTCGGTCAATTGATTTCGTGCTATGAACACATCAAATATCTACTTGCGTGTGTTGAGTCTTTTTGCAGCGTCTTAGTTTTTGCTTGGGAGAAGATAGCTCAATTGGTCATTACGGGGGAGGAGGGGTGGGGGGTTAAAATACTAATTCAGAGATGTGAACGCAAAAAACCTCAGCAGTGAAACATTAAACGCTCGAACAGTGTATTGATGCTCAAACCCATGAAATATTTTGAGTCAAATTATGTCACGGATTTGAGTCAGGAGCTAATTCGAAGCTACTAGAAATGCCACAAACGCTGAGTCATTACATTGATTTCAGAATTTAATAGTCACTCCGGGTCACATGTTGGAATTTCCATCTTTGTTTTGTCTATTTCTCTGTTATGACATGCTGGTTTTCTTTCTTCCGCCCCCTTTTGTGTACCCGATTAGAATTTTATCAGGTTCCATTTACTTTGGGATTTGTTGTGCTCTAGTGCATTGCAGTCTTCCAGCGCTACTTCTATCTTTTCATCATCGCTCAAGGCCGGGACCTCGGTACCATCGTTTTTTTTCTTTGGTGCTTTTCTCGTGGAACTCACATGTGGTTTCCGAAACTAAGTAACCCAGTGCTTCCATATCCTAGGGTAGGCTTCAGTGTTGAACAGTGCGGCTTCAGGTTCTCGAAGTTGGCTGCCCATCCCGGGCTCAAGCCCAATAATTTGTTGTGATAAACTTATTAAGACAAGCCTAATTGTTGTGATAAACTTATTAAATAGGGATGAGCCCGCGAGGCATGGTTGGTGAAAGCTAATCGACAACTTTACTGATTGATTCAGTTTCCACTCTCCAAACATTGTGATAACCATTGGTTGACACTCCCATCCAAGTCCACGGTATTTTGAGTCAGTTTTGGTGCCTCTAGATGTCTGGCACAAGCGACCCGTGGAAGAAAATTCCACCTGATTTACGGGAACGAACAGCGACCAGGGTACTGGACGCAAACGACCCGCAGATCCTGGTCGAGTGGAAGCATGGCAACCAACAATGGTCTTCTCTTCGCCACGTTCGCGTGCAAGACGATGGGCGCGTGTTCTGGCGGAACAATCAGCGACCAACGGGTTTGCTAGTGGAGCGAGCTCCAGTTCAGTCTCATAGCAGCTTTACCTAAGGCATGGAGGACCTCACGATAGACGTTCAACAAGCCATCCCGCACACTAGCCTCACCCATTACATGGACGCTCTCAATATAGACTCACCGCCAAGCTACGGTTTGCTTTCAAATTCTATTTCTGTCAAAGCTAATCTTTCTAATGTTGTTTCTAATGTTGATTTTAACGGTGCTTCTCCTTCTGTTGATTTTAACGGTGCTTCTCCTTCTGCTATTGAACCCCGCATGGAGTGCCCCGTCTGTCTGTTGCAGGTAGGTGTTTGTGCTTCGGGGTTGGTCAAATCCCACAAGCATCAGGGTTCGAAGTGCGATGGCTCCGGTCACAGACCCCCGAATCTTGCAACCAAGCTGCCCCTTCCTTCCTTGGCAGACATAGAGAAGTTTTCGATCCCAACAAGAAAGCACGTTCCTGTTAGCTGTCGCAACCTGTGGGCCAGAGTAGTCTCTTCGACTTACGCAAAAGTGAAGAACAATCCTTCGGTTACCGACAACTGGATTGAGTTGTTTATCCTCAGCCAGTGTGTTTTGCGTTCTCCTCCCCGCGGAGGGTCTAAGCATCTGCGATACGAAGAAAACAATGTTCAGTCCAGGTTGAACAGGTGGCTTAACGGCGAGGCTACCCAGTTATGGTTTGAAGCCACTTGTTCCGTCAAGCCTTTCGTCATTAAGCCCCTCCCATCCGGGGAAGTCGATGTTAAACGCGCTAGGCAACTTGGGCATGAAGGAAGTTACCGTAAAACCATTGCCGCGCTCTGCCCAGAGAGTTTGTGCTTTGATGACGCGGCTTTATCGGTCCTGCAAGAAAAACATCCTCCTGCAGTCACTGCCGTGATGTCTCCCGAGCCTCCTCCAGATCTTATCCCGTGCAGCATTTCCCGTGACATATTGATCAACTGTGTTAAGAGTTTTCTAAAAGACTCTGCTGCAGGTGTCTCCAAATTTTATGCCACACACTCGTCTAATGCTTTTCTTTGCCCTTCACCCGCTTACGGCGGTCAGATCATCTCTGCTGTTCTCGACGTTGTCAATCTTCTTGCTCGTGGTGAGGCTCCTACCTCCCTTGCTCCCTACTTGTGCAGAGCCAGTCTTCTTGCGCTGAAGGAAAAAGATGGTGGCATAAGACCCATAGTAGTTGGTGAGATCTTGCGCAGACTTGTTGCCAAGTGACTTTGTCTTTCTAGCCAGAAAGCCGCCTCTTAGCTCGCTCCTCTTCAGGTCGGAGTGGGCGTTCCTGGTGGCTGTCAAGCCGTTTCTCACACGCTGAACGGGCTCGTTGCTTCCGTGGGTGACACTACTTCTTTGGCTATTCTCCAGGTCGATCTGAAAAACGCCTTTAACACCCTCGACCGGTCCTCTATCTTCGGCAGGTTGCCGACCAGTTTCCAAAGCTTCTCTGGTGGGTCGAGTTCTACTACAGCCAACCATCCTGGCTGAAATTCCCTTAAGTTATCCGAGTGTGGCGTCCAGCAAGTTGACCCACTGCTCCTCTCTTGTTTGCCATTACTATTCATCCCATCATTGTAGCTCTTAAGAACAAATTTCCTGATCTCGCCTGTAACGTCTGGTACCTTGACGATGGTTCCCTAGTCGGCGATGTTAATCTTCTTGCTCAGGTTTTTCCGCATTTGGTTACGTCTATGGGAGGTCGGCTTGGAGGTCAGCATTGAGAAGTGTGAAGCTCGTCTCCCAACCCCAACCTGGATTTTAGTGCTCTTCCTAAAGCCATTACCGTTCGGGGCAGTGGTTTGAAGAACCTGGGCGCTGCCATTTCGACTTACGACGACTTTATCCAAGCCTTGTTCCTGAAAAGAGTAGAAAAGTGCGAAAACCTTATAGATTCCATCCGTCTCTTGGAAGATCCTCAGTTGGAATTACATCTTTTGAGAAGCTGCGCAGCTCTTCCCAAAATCACATTCAGCATACGGACTTGCGATCCCTTCTCCATTAGCACCTGTCTAGATCAGTTTGACAATGCCGTTCACTTATGTCTCGAGTACATTACTGGTTCAGCCCTGCTTCCGTCTCAACGCCTGCAGTGTTCACTGCCTGTGGCTAAAGGTGGCCTCGGGCTTCCAATTTCTTCTTCGATCGCCCCAGTGGCCTTCCTCGGGTGCTACATTGACATCAAATATCTCTCTGACCGGATCTTTCACAACACCAAAGGTGACCTCCACCGTGTTGAATTGTTCGTCCTCCCTCGAGTTTCTCAGTGACAACGCTGACATTCTTTTAATGGCACCCAAAGCCAAATGAAACTCAAGCCTACTTGATTCCAAGTCTTGGTCCGAGCTCACGTCATCCGCCTCTACGCCCAAGACAGAGTCAGACTGCTCTCCTGTTCGCTCTCCAACAGTGGTGGCTGGCTTTCGGCAGTCCATCTGAAGGCGCTAGGGTTAATCCTTCCGGCAGCCGAGTTTCGGTTTGCAGTTTGCTATCGACTCTCGGAATTCCCCTACTCAACAGCGAGTCTACGTGCCCGAAACGTTCCAGGACTCTAGATACGTTTGGCGATCACGCCCTCGCTTGCGCAGCCGACGGAGACCGCATATCGCGCCATGACAGACTGCGCGATGTCGTTTTCAACAGCGCCGCTAAGGCAGCTCTCTCCCCCGTTTTAGAAAAAGCCAATCTCACTTCTTCTCGCTCTCGCCCGGTAGGGATTTATCTCCCCTGTTGGTCCCGAGGTCGTCCAGCCGCTCTGGACATGACCGTCATTAGTTCCCTGCAGTCATCTACTTTGCAAAGTGCCGGAACTAGTGCCGGTCACGCCCTCGAAGTATCCGACGAGCGAAAGTTCACAAAGCACATTTCCGCGTGCGAAGAAGCTGGTATCTCGTTTGTGCCCCTCTCTGTCGATGCCCTTGGCGGGTGGTCGCCCATTGCCGCTAAAACCATTCATCGCATTGCTTCGATGGCAGCAGCGCGCTCTGCCTGTGCCGACCCCGGGCAAGCTGCTTGCTATCTTATGCAACAGCTGTCAGTTGTCCTGCAAAAAGGGAACTCCACCCTCCTCCTGTCCCGGTACTGCTCATGAGTGTTTTTTCTGTTCTATACAAATCTGGTAACGTTTTTCTGTGTATCTGGCGTCATTGTAAATTTGTTTCTATTATTTTGTATGTATGGCATTTTATAATCATGCGGGTAAACGCCAAGCTCCTGAATTTACCTATTAGCACAAGAAGCTAACTTGTTATGTAATTCGATCTACTTACCTGGGATCTAAGTCACAATGGGTTTCACAATTTCGCGACACTCTATCTCAATTGAGCGTTTATCTTACTTCTTTAGAAGCTTAATTGTACTTTTTGGTGATATCGCGCTTTGTAACCTCCAGACTTTCTTACCTACGAATAAGTCATGCCTCCTATGATCGTAATTGATTTTCGAGCAGAAAGGTTTTAGCAGTAAGCTTTTCCGTCCCCCTCCTCTCCTTTCGGGAAACACAAAAAAAAGCCTATTTTTCTTTTAAGCAACGCGATACAATATTACAAAGCGAAACCCATAAGGCAAAACGAAAAAAAACGAAGTTAAAATATATAAAATCAGTGCTGATAAATTTAGAAATAACAGAAGACTTTTAATTAGAGTAAAAGTTTCTTATTAGTCCAAGCTGGAAAAATTAAACAAAAAAGTTGAACAATTAAATGAAGAAGTTTCAACGTTGGAATTTTTTGATTTCGTAAAACCAACCTTGATTGAATATAATAAATTTTTGATACCTTCAACTGCAGTAGCTGTGTGGTATCGCAGCAGATCTCTGGGCTCCGAGATTTTGTCAGATGCGGACAAACTGAATTCAAAAAATAGAACGCTTCAGAGTCTTCTTCGTTTTCCACTTCGAAAACGAAAGGCTCCGAGTTGGAAACACAAGCCTGCAAGAAATCACCCTGACCGCCTTCATTGCAAGCACTTTTGGTAGCACATCGACTTTTTTCGTGTACTCTAGTTGATAAAACCTAAAGCAAAAACTCTCAGGATTCAACCTAAATAACATCTTCACACTATTTCACTTGTTTGTTTACTTACAGACATCCAAAAAATTTGAGCCAAAATAATTGCAACGAACGTCCATCTTGGAGCTAATGACATATTGGGATGAATGCAGAGACAATTTGTCCAAGCATGGATCTGAAAAAAGTCCGAAAGGAATTCTAACAAACAGAGATATGAACAACATCTTTGTTTTCGCAACATTAGCCCGGAAAGTACATAACGACGAAAAGTAAAACTTAACCTTAAACGATTTTCATCTTTGATAAGCTCGTATTTTAGTTAAATTTTATTGACTTACAACTATTTTAAACAAACTCTCGAGTCAATAACGAATACGATAAGCTCACCAAGAAGCAGAAAAAAACTGAGCTTAAAACAGAACGCTTCAAAGTCTTCTTCATTTTTTACGTCGAACACAAATGGTAATCAGGAGGTCAAAAGTATCATAGTAACCGATGTTACAGTCAGGAGTCCCTTCATCACGTATTCCAGTCAAAATCCTTGGAATTTTCTAGATATGGAAGTCATAATGATAAAAGAAGTTGACAATTGTTGATGTCTTTACAATTAATCGATACGGGTTACATTTCTTCAATAAGAACACGCAACTCGACACGAGAAAAAAATAATATTTTAGAGTTACAAATAAAGAATTTCGTCAAAAGTTATTTTGTCATTTATTGTTCCGAGCACGTAAGCGGCGTTCGCAATCTGAATTGCCAGAGAGATTCTCTGTTTTAAAAAGCTGCCTGCTCTGGGTTCCTCAGTGCATCTGCTTAGGTTCTTAAAAAATTGCTTAAAAAAACAGTGCTGGGGCCGGCCGCGCCCTGAGTCTCAAAAGCTAGTGGTTGAAAAAGATACCTATCATCTTCTAGATCTTTATACTTCACATTTTTTCGCTCTTCCGCTTCAGCGGCAGTCGTACCAGGGTTACAAAAAGAGCCGGCACTAATCTTACTAGAAGCTATGGCGTCTACCACCGTTACATCCCACAAGAGCTGCTACCAGCAGCCCATGGAACGAGCGTCAAACCGTCTGGTCGGTTCTGATCGGTACTGTAGAAGTCTCGTGGTTCTAAAACAGACGGAATGTCAGTAGAAGATAAACTCTGCTTTAAAATGGCATTCAGTGTTGCATGCCTAGAGAATCTCCCTGCACATTTGAGGCAAGAAAGACGACGCCAACCATCTTCGGTAACGTCTTTTTTGCACATGCATTTATTCCGTACGCATATTTTGAGCCTAATCGAAGTCCTATCGCAATTCTGAAATGTTGGTTCCACAGTTTTAACCATAAATTTTTGCGCGGTATGACGTTAAACCATTGGAAGCCGAATCTATCTTGGAATGCGTTGAATCTTTTGTCACGCTCAATGATTCCGGTCGTAAAATTAAAAATGCAATTTCGCTGTCAAAAATGGTTCTGTTCATTTTTTTTTGATTTCATAATCCGGATGTGACATTCGATCAGATTGGACAAAAATGCAGATTCGGCAACTTCGAATTATTAGCAGCTAAATATCCGATTTAGCAGTTTTGGAAGAGATCCAGAATTAACAACAATGAGAATACAATAGTTGATACAATACAATCAACAACAATAGTTGCAACGACGACAACAATAAGAATTGCGACATAAAAACAACAACGAATAGCAGAAATAGCGAGATCGTTCCGAGTTGCAACGATTGTTTCGCTACAATCATTGCAAGGCCGTTCACAACAACGGTGAAGGGTAGAAAAATAGCCTTCCGGAAAGAAGATAAGGGTGTTATTTCCCCGGATTCAGGAATCCGGAGGGGTCTCGGGACTGGAACTTATATCATTTTATATAAACTTTTAGCTTCCATATAATGTCCTGAATTGAATTTATTTAAAATCTGAATTCATTTTCCGACGATGAGAAGCTAGGAGTTAGGGAAAAGGGTTGATCCATCTTCGATGGAGATGATGATTTTCATCTACTGAACAAAACATATATCGAAGCACGGCAGAATGTACAGTGTGTATCAGCTGGACATTGGGGCAGGAGCTTTCAAGCGAGCTTCCGTGACTAATCGGAATGCAGTGACCCCCGCTGTAAAGAGAATTTCCAGGACAAGTAACGTAATGGAAGGGAAAACGAAGAGATGTTGAAGGAAGATTTGGAGAGAAACGTGACGTTGTGCCTTCACAATAGCTTTTTCAGAAACCGAGAATCTAACGTAGATCCCCTACCTTGTTGTAAGCAAAGGGTAGAAGAGCAGAAGTGTTGGAGGACTGCTTCCAACAGCGTCAGAATAACTAACGATGTGTTGCAAGACACAGAAACTGTAAGTGCAGAGTCAATGTCACAAGAGGAGGAGATGGAGCATTGACAAATGGCTGGAAGACAAGATGCAAAAAGAAACGAAATTAAAAGAATTTAGAAGTTTTAGAACTTCTAAACGACGAAAAAGAAGAAACAAAGAAGTGACAAAAGAGAAGAATTTAAAACTCAGAATTGTTTTTATGTGTGTGACAAAAACTCAATTGAGAAACTAAGCAAGCAAGTTGTAATTGAAAACTGAAAGAAAACATTTAGTTGAGTTTTGAGCATTAAAGAATTTGTTGCATTTATAAATTTGTATTTTGATTTTAGTTAGTGGCTTTAGAGACACTTACTTTTTATTTAGAAAGGCTTGAGTAAAGAGTATATTTAAATATTCCAGCCTGCATGACTGTTTTTATTCAACTAGGAAAACTGATCACTTTGTGGTGACATGAAAAGCTTAGGTAATCTCTTGAAGAGGGAGATTGTTTCATTGTTCTTTCTAACCACAGAGTTCCTTAATTTTAATATTCAGGACCAATAACAACTAAAATTTCCGAAGGGAAGAAGCATAGTATGATAATTTTAGCTTGTTGGTTGGCAGGGCTGTCCTGCAAACTAACACCTCTTTTTAAAACCTAGGAGAAAAATGCGAGATTCAATAGGGACATTGACCGGGCTGTCCGGGGAGTATGTGACATTCGACCAGAATGGACGAAAATGCAGATTCGGCAATTTTGAATTATTAGCAGCTAACCTTCTGAATTAGCAGTTTTGAAGGATTAACAGTGTTATTGGAACGATTAGTGAAACTGTGAAGGCTGGAATATTCTGGTACTTCAAATTTTTAAAATTTTGAAGTATGACGTCATATTTCTGAGAAACGTCAAAATGGGCAATTTTGGAAGAAATCCAGAATTAAAACACAACAGCAATAGTTGCAACGGCGACAACAAGGAGAATTGCAATAGAAAAACAACAGAAAAATAGCAGAATTAGCAGAGACCGTTCCGAGTTGCAACGATTGTGTCGCTACAACCGTTGCAAGGCCGTTCACAAAATCGGTGAAGGGTAGAAAAACATCCTTCCGGAAAAAAGATAAGGGTGTTATTTCCCCGGATTCAGGAATCCGGAAGGGTCTCGGGACTGGAGCTTATATCATTTTATATAAACTTTTAGCTTCCCTATTATGTCCTGAATTGAATTTATTTAACATCTGAATTCATTTTCCGACGATGAGAAGCAAGGAGTTAGGGGAAGGGAAAGGGTTGATCCATCTTCGATGGAGATGATGATTTTCATCTACTGAACAAAAACAATAGTAATATAACAAACAGTAGTAACCCTGTTTTTAGGAGTGACCTCGTCGATATGTGCTTCCGGGCGAATGTTACAGGAGCCATTTCAATTTTTCCAAACTCAAACCACCGGTTAAGCGCATCATCTTAGGTTCCATCCAAATGCTCCAAACCAAAGATTTAACTTAAGGCAAATTACACTCCCACTGCTGAGGCTAAGAAAGCGAGTAAAGCTAATAGACGAGCGGAAGAAACGTCCTAGCCACCTTTGGCTGCCAGAAGAACTGCTTGCAAAAACTGGTTATCACCCAGTTTCATATTAGTGAACTTGCATAACGAATTTCTTAGTAATTTGTTGTGGCGTTCCAAAAATCCAAAAAAAACAATTAGCAAAAAACAAGGGCTCGTACGCAAAAAGTATAGGAGTTTTGGCATGTTAAAGCAATTTTTCAGGAGGTAAAAACCATAATGGGCAACAAGTTTGTCAATGAAATCCGAGACTTTGTGTGAAGCTCCTTCAATTTTTTTGTCGAGCAATTCTTTCCGACAAAAGAAATTTTTTAGGCGTTAAGCTTATCGCCCTCATAAAGATAGACGGAGAGTTGAGACTTCAAAAAAAATGAATTACTCGAATTCAAAATTCCTCTCCATTTTCAAAGGTCGGAACACAATTTATATCAATAAACTCAACTCAATTCAACTTGCAATTAAATATACGTCAAACAAAATGTTAGCCCAGTTTTAAATCATTTTCGATTCAACACACAATAGCATGACAAGCTAGAAGATAGATAATTAGACTAAAGCTGCTAAGTGGAACATTTAGATCTACCAAATGTTTCTCTATGTCTTGAAAAAATTCAATTTCAAAACACGTCAAACGAGACAACGCAACGTTAAATTAGCATCAGAAGAAACTTTAAGAAGCATAACAGCGCCAAAATAACTTGAGCAGATCAAAGTTTGATCTCTCCTCAATACATATACACCGAAAAGAAAATTTTTTTTTTTTTAATTTTGTGGCATATTTTTTGAAATTGGGTTAGAATTGAGTTTTACTGTGTACTCGTAGTTGATCCCACAAAATTAAGTTTGAAATTCTCAGTGTTCAAGCTCAGGCCGTAAAACTTTTACAATTTCAGAACGTTTTTAAAGTCACGGAGTATTACCTCATAGTTGTCAGCTATATTTCCATCATCTAAATACCAGATGCTAACTTTCGCCTCCATCTAAATACCAGTAAGTTATCTTTTGTTTAATGTCTGAATTTCCGCAAAAAGGGGTGGGGCTTCAAGTTCACCTTGCTGAGTTCCATCTTCTGATATTATGACAGAACTTCCGTAAAAAAAGGTTGCTAGGTTTACTATACGCGCAATGGGTCTCATTATACAATTCGGGGCGATTTGAAAAAAAATATTCAGCATTGTTTCTCTATTTAGTCTAATTTTAAAAGAACAGTGCTTTTTGGATTGTCGTCGCGTTCAAATAGCTTTCCAAACGAGTGTGCAATTATTTCTGCTCCTCTTTTGTTACCGCATCCTACCTGTACG